CTTTAATCCACCGAGGTTCGTGCAAGAACTGTGTGACTGCTAAAGTGTTGCTAGGAGCAGCTCATTTCAGACCTGCCTTAAGAAGCAGATCGGATTGTGCCAGTGTCTCCTCACACATTGTCTGGAAGGTCCATAAACAGTCTCCCTAAGAATCCCCTATATACTTTAGCTTCCTAAGGATCATAATCTTTCAGTTGTAAGACACCTTAGAGATAATCCAATCCCAATTTGGACCCACAGTAGGCACCCCTGTCCCACATTCTTTATTGCAGGCTATCCGGTCACCTAAGGGTATCAAACTCACTGGCCTACACAGTAGGGGCTTCTTTCTGTGGCCAGCTGTAGATGTTTAAAAGTCCTTCTTGAGGGCCGGCCGAGTGGCGCGATGGTTAAGAACTGGCTTGGGATGCCAGAGGGCCCCGGTTCGGATCCCACATATGAGGGCCAGTGACACTGCCCTCTACAGCTAAGATGCTGAACAACAGCTCAACCTGGAGCTGGGCTGCCGTGAGTCGCTGGCGACGGCGTAGGCTGCAGTCCCTGTGGCAGTGGGTTGCCATGGGCTACCGTGTGTAGCCAGCAGCCAGCGTGAGCGGCCAGCAGCCGCAGTGAGCGGCCGTCCAGAAGCCGGCGGCTGATCTGCCTCACCCGGGAAGAGCACAGGATGGTGCCAACTTGGGCCAGTCAAGCAACATTCTCCACAACTAGACTGAAGAACAAAATGACAGCAACTTGTCTGTCCCCCTTCCCCCAATTCCCCAGCACTATTCCCATCCCCTCAATTCACCAATAAAAATCTTTAAAAAAAAAAAAAAAGTCCTTCTTGAGGTTGAAATGACATCTTCCTGACTAGCTCTCTAAGTCATTGGCCTTCATTTTACCTTGGAAGGCAAAGGAGTTCTAGTTCCCTCATTTGGCTTCCAGACTCTCTATCTTATAGTGTCATAAATTGAGCCTTTTATTGCAAGAGGCATGGTCAGTATCAGCATAGAGAGAATGTCCCGTCTAGAGATTAAGGTGTCTGGACTACCACTTCAAACTCATCTTTTCCCCATGGTACTCTCAAACCTTCCATAGTAGGTCCAACTAACGTTGTCTAGAGAAGTCATCTGACATACCTCCCAAACGTCTCTCCTACTGGCCTGCCCTCTGATCTCCTTCCCTAGCCCTGGATTTCTCCACTAGGGTCGTTGATTTGCTAGGTCAGCTTCTTTGCCCACAGCCTGGTCATGACCTTGATGACCTCCTAAATGTGGTTCGGATTAAAATGAGGCTAGGTCCACTCAGTAAAGTCTGCTTGCTCGCTCTGATGAACACAATAGCAACATATGGTCTTTGAAAGGTTGAGCAGCTGACTTTGAAGTTGTTTATAAACTTGGATCCTTTGAGTTTTATTATATTAGGAATGAAGTCATGGAGTACACTTGTAATATTTACAGACTATAGAGTAGATGGTTTAATACATTAAATGTTAATGATTTTTAGTATCACACATTATCTTTGTTGTAACCATTAGCATTCTTTTTTAAAGCAGTTTATTAAAATATGAGAGTAAATGGTGCATAGGAAATAATTCTAATACAGTTTGGTGAATGAAGAATGTGTAAATTGCACATTAGTCCTTCATATCCCAGGCAGAATCAAGTATTGCATGGGCTAGCTTGCTTCGCTCATAGCCACTTTAATATACATTTGGAAAATAAATTAGTGACATATGAAAATAAATGTAGCGGAAGTGGGAATTGAACTAGCTGAACAGCTAACGGGTTTCAGTGAAGAACTGAAAGTGAAATATTGTGATGATTTGACAACTTGAAAGTTCCACTGTGGATTCTAGACAAGAACGTGTCCCTGGGCCAGTCATTCTGATACTGCTGTTTGTCTTGCTTGTGAAGACAATGTTTTGGTTTTGTACTCACTTTTTGTCCCTGAGAACAGTCCCAGCTGGGTGCTAGGTGGGCCCACAGGAAGTGAGGGTCAAACTCATATGTGTGGCTTACATTCTTCAGCAGGCTGGGTGCAGCCATATTCTCCAGCAACCCCAGGAAGAGCAGATGGATAGTAGAGGCGTAGGAAAGTACTGAGGAGAGCAATGTTTCTTTCCTTTTAAGCAACTGTTATTCCCTCCCCAAATGAGTTTGAGTTCTTATGATATCCTCTCTAAATTCAAGTCCACTTTGCCTCTCAGCCCCAAGTATCTCTGTCCAGCAGTGTGGGTATGAAAAACTGATGTACCTCTTCCTGTTCTTTCTATACTGGTTTCCCCTAAGTGGTCCTTGTCAATGCTGACTGATCATGGGGTCTTTCCTGAGAATACAGCAATAGATTTAGCTGTAAGAAATCTTAGGGAAAATAATTTCAGGTCTCGTGTCATTGGGTCTCAGTCAAGGTTACTCTTACATTTGAAGTAGTCTTAATTTTGTATCGAAAATATCAATATTTACTTATCCATATAGTTATAGTCAGTTTTTAATATATGGTTTCTGTCCACATTTATAATCCCTTAATCACAATTCTGAAATTCAACAAGTTCTGAGAACTGATATTTTCAGTAACTTTGAGACAAACTCATTTAATGACAAAACCTGACCTAAACTGATGTATAGATGTTTATTTAAAGTCTTGATTTAGTCCTCTTACTGTGAGTGTAACTGTAGCACTATTAACAAGTTTTATTAAGGAATGCTTCTCCAGATCTCATTGGGGTATTATATATATATATGGTATTTTCACTTTTTTAATTAAAACATCTGAATATCAAAATGTGTCTGCCCTCCAAAGGGCTTTGGATACGGAACACCTGTGTCTGGATACTCACGTACAAGTTCCTACTAAGCCTGTGAAGCTTTTCTTTTGATTTACCTGAGGAATAAGTTGATTCGGTAAATAAAACACCTGTGCTCTAGGTATGTCACTTCAGTGCATCTGGTTTTGAGGGAATAATCCCTGCGATTATTTTGTGTCTTACAGAAATTGCTCAAAAGTAATCCAGTAAATGCAAACTCTATCCAGAAATACTCCAAAGTAAATCTGGACTCTAGTTAGGTGATATTAGGATGACCAGGGCCTTAGGAGAAGCCAGGAATTAATGCATGGGTAGGAAAAACTAGGAAATGGCCTTTTAGCTTGAAAACCATAAATGTGAGTATGACTTAGATCTGATCTCAACCCACCAGCCAGTAGTCTCAGTATCGCAGTTGCTCTGTGCTGTATTTAAAACTGCTGGACACACACAGACACACACAGACACACACACACACACACACACACACACACACACACACACACACATTTTTCTAGGAGATACCGGCCCCTATTTCTTCTGCTTCCCTTAATCTCTTGGTGTATTTGGCAGAGGAATGAACTTGCAGATAGCATTTACTTAGCAGATAGCATTTTCAAATGCGCTTTTGCTGTATGAAAGAAAATATCTACCTGGGAGATTAAAGGGGCAGCCTTCAGGGAGGCCAGGCACGAGTAATGAAAAGGCTCTCTGCATCGGATAGCATCTGATGAGGAGCCCTTGCTGGCTTGAAAGAGATCCTGTTCCTTCCCGAGCAGCCGCCAAGTATGGCTCCAGCTCAGTGGGCAAGAGCTGTAATGTTGGAGAACAGTCCCCTGCGAGGGTGTGGGGTGGAGCCAGGCAAGGAATAGTGCTCTGTGCTGACAGTCTTGAGCAGAGGGGTCGTTGGGGTGCCCTCCAGAGAGAGACCACACCTGGGCTCTCCTCGCTGAGCTGAGTGGGGAAGAGCCAGACAGGGAGCTGGGAGTATGACAGCAGTGAGGTTCGGGTGGCCAGCCAGGCAGATTGGTGGACCGGCCCCTGCATATCCGTGAATTCATGGCTGAAAAGTGCATCCTCTCATTCCTTTATTCCAACAGTTAACTCTGGTTACCATGGTGCTGGGAGCTGTGTGCTGGGCGCTGTGGTTCTACTCTCACTTCTGTGGTCCCCAACCCACCCTTCACCGTGATTAAACTTATCTCCAAAAAGGAGATTGGGCTCATGAGACAGAGGGAGATGAAAACCCTCCCCCAGGTTTTGATTCCCATTTCTGAGCGAAAACAGAGCAAAACTCAGCCCAAAGAGACAATGAGCAGAAAAGGACAGAAAGGCGATGGCATAGCCCGGCGTGTCATGAGGCAGCTGAGGTTGATTTGTTATGGGGCACGGAGAGCAAATGATTAGTAAGGAAGTGTATTGATTGTCAATAAAGGCAGAGTGGCAAATGGTGTTGACTTTCAAATGTTTTGCTTGGTCAGCTTTACGAATTTAAAATCAATCACTAGAGATGGTTGGTCACTTATGATCATACCTCCTGGTAAGGGTTTTACAAATAATTTACAAAAATTATGGTGGAGGAGGCTGAAAAGTGCATCCCCTCATTCCCTTATTCATACGGTTAACTCTGGTTACCATGGTGCGGGGCGCTGGGCACCCAGCAGTCAATATGCTTTACAGGGCCCCTGCCCTTTGAGAGAGCTGGGGGACTAAGGTTCTAGTCTCACTTCCCTAACTCTCTGTGAGGCAGAGACAAGCCTCTCCCGCTCTCTGGATCTCAGCTTCCTCTGGTGAAAATAAGGATTAAACTCAACCCTTCCTGGGCAGAGGACTATACTGTGTATACAGCTAATATCAGAACTCCTTGACAAACCTGTAGGTTTCTGAAAAAGATGGCCCCAGAAAATGAAAATTAACTGGAAAAAAATGGGGCCGTTAAGAATCGAAGGCTGTGTGTTTGTATCAGCATGTAAACTTGGCTTGAACTTTTCCTGTGGTGTGACGGAGGCGAGGCTTTCCTGGGAATGACGGTAGTGTGACGGAGCCCAAGAAACTTTTGATGGTGGGCCACTCGCCGAGCCTCATGGTTCCCATCTGTAAGTGTGGCACAATGCTCCACTCTGCCTGTACTCACAGATCATTGGTCCTTATGCTGAACCAGGCCCTTTTCCAGCTGATTTGAGACTGAAGAAGGCAATGAGTGATGTTTTTCTTTCAGCCCACTCTTGGCCACACCTCAGCCCCCACCCGCAGTGCAAGCCAGCGGGGGACCCGGCAGCTCCAGTGACTCAGAGAGCAGCTCGGAATCAGACTCAGACACGGAAAGCAGCACCACTGACAGCGAATCCAATGAGGCGCCTCGCGTGTCCACGCCAGAGGTGGGTGAAATGGCCAGGGCCCAACCCATGATTTGCCTGTCACCAAGGCAGCACCCCAACACGTAGACATGCACACACACACGTTCTGCATGATAATTACTTTAGCACAAAAGTACTACAGAAACATATTCAAGGATTTGATAGCATTTTCCCCTCCAAATTGAATATACACACAGTCCCTAACAGACAGACTTCTCGACGTGTGACAGACTTGCTGTGTGACTCTCTTAGCTACTCTGAGCCTTCCAGCTTCCTCACATGTAAATTGGAACAGTAATAAGTGGGCTAGCAACTTCTCTTTCGGGAGAACCAGTGAAGCCAGTCAAGACCCACTTCTGGCTCTGGTAACAGCACCCCTTTCTCTGGGTTGAGGCAATGAATTGCCACTTGGCAAGCAAGACCCAAGAAGTGTGATGGTCGAAAGGTCACGTTTTTTTTATTTCAGTGTGCTTGATTTATTTGAGTGTGCTTGATAATAATTCCTGGAAACATTTAACACAAGCCCGTAAAATACCCAAATTATAATTTTCAAATGAAAGACTGTGCCCTTCCCCTCCCATTCTCTGAGTCCAGGATAGCACCTCAGTTTCCCCAAGCAAGCACATCCACCCATGGCTCTTTACACACCCATTTTTCACTAATCAGAAAAGAGTAACAGAAGATGCAGTGGTAATATCACTACTATTAAGAATAGCTAGGGCCGGCCGAGTGGCGTGATGGTTAAGAACTGGCTTGGGATGCCAGAGGGCCCCGGTTCGGATCGCACATATGAGGGCCAGTGTCACTGCCCTCTACAGCTTACATGCTGACCAACAGCTCAACCTGGAGCTGGGCTGCCTTGAGTCGCCGGCGACGGCATAGGCTGCAGCCCCTTGGCAGTGGGTTGCCATGGGCTACCGTGTGTAGCCAGCAGCCAGCGTGAGTGGCCAGCAGCCGCCATGAGCGGCCATCCAGAAGCCGGCAAGTGATCTGCCTCACCCGGGAAGAGCGCAATGATGGTGCCAACTTGGGCGAGTGAAGCAACGTCCTGCACAACTAGACTGAAGAACAAAAACAACAGCACCTTGTCTGTTCCCTTTCCCCCAATTCCCCAGCACTGTTTCCATCCCCCCAATTCCCCAATTTAATTAAAAAAAAAAGAAGAGCTAATGCTTTCTGGATGTGGACCGTGTGCCAGCACTGTGAGAAGCTCTTATCTTGCATTTTTTCATTCCATCTTCGTAACAACCCTGTGGGGTCCTTGCTGTTATTATCCCCATTTTCCAGATGAGAAAATAAGGCTCTAAGAGGTTAAGAAACAACTTTCCCAAGATCTCTCAGCTAGACAGTGGTAGAGCCAGGACTGCAACTGGGACCTGGGTGTTACCAAAGCTGGGGCCCTTAATGTCACAACTATGTCACCAACAGTGGCAGCCAGTACGATTTCCTCTACCCTTATCTGCCATGGCCCTGTGCAGGTTGGAATCACAGCTACTCAAGTGTTTTTAATTCTGTCACCCTCTATTGGCTGCTGCCATAAGCCTCAGCGAACTGCTTTCCAAAGAAGAGCAGTTCTAATAGAAATGATGGCTCTTTGAGCTCAACAGGCAGAATTCAGAGCTGGGAATCAAGCACTTGAATTGTACGCATCATTTCCATGGCTTAGCAGAGGATGCTAATGTCAGCATGCGTGTCCCCATAAATTGGTTATTGCCCATACACCAAGGAAAGTGCAGTGGTTTTTCGGAAGTCAAATCTTTTCATCCTTCAGTAAAAATACAAAAGACCTATTCTTTTTGCAGTGAATTGTGGCATCATAGAGGAGGCACTGGCACTGTGGCAGCTAGAAAGCCTTTCCTTTTGAATTACACTGGAGGCATGCTTATGTTTCTTTTCAGGCCTAGAGATCATTACCTCTGCCTCCTGGTGAGAGGTTGAGTAATGAGTCCCACCAAAGGATTTTGGGAACAGGTTTCCCTCCTAGGCCTCCCTGCCAACTCCCTGGAAAAACTCTCTGTGAATAATTCTTTCCTTCCTGGACAGAGCGGAAAATATTTTCAGAAAAAGAGTGGAAATTAGTTTCAATAAGTAAATCAGGGCTAGTTTGTGGAGGATTTAGCTCTCTTGGTAATTTAATTAATGTGGATTCTGTGTGTGCATTTGTGAATGTGTGAATGGTCACCTTACATCCAAAGCTTTTACCAGCAAACAGCCAGTGTACGGATTCTTCCCAGATGTGAAATTCATTCTTGCTGCTGTTTCTCAATTTGCAGCCTGAGCCACCCTCAACCAACAAGTGGCAGTTGGATAAATGGCTTAACAAAGTGACATCCCAGAACAAATCGTTTATTTGTGGCCAAAATGAAACACCCATGGAGACGATTTCTGTGCCTCCTCCTGTCATCCAACCAACGGAAGTTCAGGTAAAAGTGAAGACAACCCCCAGCCAAGTTCAGGCTGAACCCAAAGAGAGACCTCTCCTCAGTCTCATCAGGGAGAAAGCCCGTCCACGGCCCACCCAGAAAATTCCAGAAACAAAGGCTTTGAAACATAAGTTGTCAACAACTCTTGAGACAGCTTCTCAAAGGACCATTGGGAAAAAACAGCCCAAAAAGTTTGAGAAGACCACCAGCGTTGATGAGTTTACCTGGCCCAAACCAAATATTACCAGCAGCACTCCCAAAGAAAAAGAAAGCGTGGAGCTTCCTGACCCACCGAGAAGCCGCAACAAAGCCACCGCCCACAAACCAGTCCCTAGGAAAGAACCAAGGCCTAGCATCCCTTTGGCTGCCGAGAAGAAGAAGTACAGAGGGCCTGGCAAAATTGTGCCAAAGTCCCGGGAATTCATTGAAACGGACTCGTCCACGTCTGATTCCAACACGGATCAGGAAGAAACCCTGCAGATCAAAGCCCTGCCTCCTTCCATTGCTCCTGGGGGCAATTTTGTCAAATCCAAGGAAACCTGTGGTGCCAACCTGACCCTCAGCACCACAGTCCCCAGCGGCGGCAACAACTTATCCATCACTAATGAGGAACCAACGTTTTCACCCATCCCTGTCATGCAAACTGAGCATGTGTACCCTCTACAAGAGCATGAGAATATGAAAAATCTCTGGGTGAAGATTGACCTTGACCTACTATCTAGAGTACCTGGCCACAACTCACCCCAAGCAGCACCAGCCAAGTCAGAACACAAGGAGACGGCTTCAAAACCTAAGCGTCAGACTGCTGCTGCAGCTGCGGAAAAACCCGCCCGAAAGGGCAAGCGTAAGCACAAGGTAAGCTGTTCAGTGTGGTCTGCCAAGTGATCATGAGCAGTGTTAGCTGTCCGTTGACTAACTTGATCTTGAGTCTCGTTTTTAAGGATGTCAATGGCAGTGGATGGACGTCTTTGGTGAAGGCAATGATGCTTTCCATGGGAAATGCATTTTTTGATGTAACCAAGGAGGAAAGTATTAGGAATGATCAGGCGTTGGCAGCCAATGTCAAGAGTATCCAAAATGTCAGGTGAGGGATTATGATGTATAGGAAAGAAGAATAGGAAGAGAGTCTCTTTCCTCAGGTAGCCAATCCCTGGGGTCGGCTCCTTAAGCAGCGCCTGCGTTCATGGACTCATGGGTCCTTACTCTACCGTCCCCCACACCAGCGGCAGCAGGGAACCCAAGTGCTCCTCAGGTCAAAATGCATCCTCTGGGCCATGTTAATTTCGCTGGACAAACACCAGCACCCCCAAAATCCAGTTACACTTTGATTATCCTGGCTCCTACTAGACACATCTTCTGCCCAGCCCACTGGGTCCCCTGACCTGTGTGGTCAGCTTGACTTGTGAAAATCTCCCCTGCAAGAGGTGAGGGATGATTTCCAGGGCTACAAATTCTAATCAGAGGGTTAAACTCAGAATTGCCTCTTCCGTTTCAAATACATCTAGGGAATTGTATTTGTACCTAAAAGGTTCATTCTGTTATAGCTCCTGATATTATTGTTTTTCAGTTACATCATCTCGTGGTGATTGGGGTAATACTTTTCATGGCTGCCACAGTGGCTAGAGAGGAGGTTCCTATTCTTTGTTTCTTCTGTGGCCTCCCAGGAGAGACTTAAGAATGGTCAGAAATGGCTCAGATTCTTCATGAGGGAACAGCCCTACCTGTGACCAAGGCATACTGCTGAATGGTATATTGCTAGGATGATGTAAGTCTTCATTCAGCATTACGGATTCAAAAGCAGAGGGTATTATCTCTGAACTGTGCACCAACTTATCCAATAAGAGTATTCCAAACTAGGAACCAAAGTCTGGGGGCCTTGCCCCATCAGGGTTTCCCCACTGTTAGTGATGACAACAGTATAACCGGGGTAAAAGTACCTTTGGGACAAACACATGCAAAGCTCCAAAGGCGTGCCTTGCACATGGTTAACTTCCTTGCTTGTTGTTGATTGTGTAACTGACCTTTATAAGTTACCCACAATCCCCATGGTGCTTGGACAGGATTTACGCCGTGTTAGAGTGGCAATGTTAGTTTCTAAATTACTCATTTGTGGGGACATTGTTGATGGGAGAAGTGTCTGAAAATTATAGATTCATTTTACTTGTGGTATGAGATGCCTCTGCCACCCAATCTTTAATCAGAAGTTCACATCACAGTTCAACTCTTGCCAGTTCCAGCTTCTCGGTAGGAGGAGTCTAGGGAAGGCTGATTGCTTTTCTGTTTGATCAAAGGTGCGTATTTAACCCCCATCTCATCTAGCAGTTAAGAGAAGCAAGCTGTCCACCTTGCTTATTGTTTTTAAATGTCTGCATGTACCATGTATTTTAAGCTGTGCATTTTTTTTTCTGTTAAAGCCAACAGAATTTGCAGAGAAAATCCCTGAGAAGAGGCAACGCCTGGAGGAGGCCACCGCTATGTGCCTGCTCCCCCCTTGCATCTCACCAGTTCCACCCCACAAGCCTCCCAACATTAAAGAGTGAGTTTGCCCTGTCTTTGTATAATACTTCACTTGTTTAGACTCTTCAAAAATCCCCTTTGGGGAGCTTCTGTCTCAGAGAAATGTTAGGTACAGAACAGGGTTTTCCGAGTCCAGTCCTGACAGCTCTCCATGGTCACTGGTCTAACAACAGTAGGCTCAGGGGTGGAATATGGGCTTCCAGATTTTGGGTGATGTCATGAGCTTCTTAGCAACATTTCTTTACTCCAACTCAGACTGATCACCCAAATCGGCCAACAGGTGTCAGAAAGGAATTCCCAGCTTGTATTTGTTTGGATCCTTGTGGTTTGGAGATGAAAAGTAGGAAAAGAACAATTGCCACTAGATCCTCTTGATATAATAGGGCGATTTGGGCCCTGGACTGCCCAGCTCCCTGGAGATCCATAGTTCTTTGTGAAGCATATCTCTTTGCCCTGGTTTAACTTTGATCTGAAACATCCCTTCATATACTTGGGATTCTCCGGAGTGGAAACTCTTCCAGTAGAGCAAGCCAACCCTCTTCACCCCAGGCATGTGGGGAAACATGCTTCCTCCCCAGTGCTCACATGTGGCCATCCCAGGGCCCTCCTCCTTTCCAAGGAGGAAGGACAGAAATGGCATCACTGTGGTGGCAGTCCCTCCCCAGTTCCCAGGCTTTGACCAGTTCAGGCCACCTGAAGGCAAAAGGAAAAGGCAGGGGGCAGTAGGGAATTGCCACACCATCAGTCCCCATTGCTAGTCCCCTTCGGTGACCCAGTGACCTGTCACTGTTCCCATTTCATGGAAGACACGTGATCAAGTGTTCAGTAAATGGCTAATAATTTGAGTTTGTCCTCATAAAATGGTGTTTTGAACTCATGATCATTGCGGTCTTTCTGCTTTTGTACCAGGTAAGAAAGCATTGTTTAGCTAGTGGCATTTTCCATTCAGGAAGAGCCCAAGTCAGGTTATCATGCTCATTCAACAATCCAAGTCAGCGGAAAGCTCCCTGGACTTGAGGGAGAATGAAACATGGACTAGCCTCTTGGAATCTTCTAGGCACCACTCCTCAAAGCTTTGTCTGCTCCTTTATGCTTTGTTGACCCTTCAAACTAAATCCTTGGAAATTCCTGAGACAACATTCGCTTTTCTAAACGAATATTTGAAACCTTGCTGAGAACGCCACAGCAGAGTATGACAACTGGAGTTCCCCATCGTCCAACAGAAGGGTCTTGCTGAGTTCCTCCCCTTTCTTTAGACCTTGAACCATCAGCAAGGCCTCTGAAGCACTGTGGGTGGTGGTGGTGGTGGTGATACTCTTCTCTTATCTTCTCTCCTCCTCTGGCCCACTACAAGAGGTGCCAAAAGTAGCAAAAACTATTCTTGTAGTAAGAAGCTGTAATGGTGACAGAGTGGTGTCTAGAAAATGTTCCCTGGGTATCTTTCACCAGAGAGGTCATTAAAGATCCTATGGTTCCAGGTCCCTACCAAACAGATAGAAAGGGGGCCAGGTGACTGGAGCCCGCTGCACAAAGTGTCCTGTACAGTGTTTAATGTACTGTGTTCAATGGCAGATTGGAAGGACTAAGCATGGCTATAGTAGCCAATGGCAAATCTGCTGCCTTTAGGAAGCAACCCTTCCCCCTGCAGCCGCCACTGCCTTCTCAGGCAGCCCAAGTGATGGAGGAGTGGCCATAGCGAACGGACCATTCACCTCCTATAGGTGCCATAGCAACGCTGAGCATCTCGCTGTATAAATCCCCCAAATTGTGATGCCTTTGTAATGATGATACTTAGCACTGGCTGATGTGTGTGCAGCTTCTTCATGGACACGAATCTTAATCCATATGTTCACCATTATTTTAATCAGGTATCACAACTATCTTAAAATGGTTCTACATGTCAAAATAATTCTTCCAATCCATAAATCTACTGGCATATATTTTTAATTAATTTTAACCAATTGAGGTAATGGCAGAAACAGTTAGTTTTGTTTGTTTGTTTGTTTCTTAAATTTTGTCAAATGACAAGAATTGACATAGGGCCACATTATGAAACACAACATGGGTAAGATGGCAAATATTATTACAATTGGCAGATTTGGGCAACACAGCGGAAGTGGAGCAAGGAGACTGCATTGACTTCTACCATTTCAGGAAATCAAGCCACTTGTATGCGTGTTCATCTTTAATTTGTTGCTTTGAGATATTGTAAGTCTATATTTCTAGATACTGACTGGAATTGACCAAGAGGAAAACATAAATTCTTGTTGACTTAATTTGCTATTGAAAATTATAGTCAATAATCACGAAAAGTAAATGGCTGCACAGTGCAATATTAGTTGTCTAAGAAAAGATTACAATTCAAGTAATCTTCATTGATTAGCCGAAGACAGTAACTAAAATGAAAATCCATGACCCAATTACCATGTTAAGCAGCTAGCGTAAGGTTTTAGTTGCTCTGTTTTATGTGAAGTCTCAGTCTATTTGATAGTGCCCATTTAATGGGTAGACAAATCAGTGTGAAAGCACAGGAGTAATTCTAGGACTGCATATGTCTTGCGGCAATATGACAAAATATTTTTCAAATGGAGTTTAGTAAAATGGAGTACATCAGTACTTCAAGACAACAACTTAAGGTCAGGGGCTCATTATGCCTTGGCGTTAGGGTAGAACATTTTGAATATGCAATTTGCAATGTATCACAACCGTATATAGTGCATTATGTATTTCAATGTAATGTATAAGCATAGTATTTCTTCGAAAAATATCCTTCCACTAATTGTTTGTGTGCCATTTGTTGTGTGATTGCGCAGTTAAGTCCTAGGGTCAAATAAGTAGGAACTGTCCTAAAAAAAAATGATCAGATTAAAGTCTGCATTGGATTTTCCATAAAAATCTAATTAACAGAAATTGTGAAATGTTGCAAATATCACACTGTAGCACATTCCATTAGACGCTTATATTTATCAGGGAGTTCTGCTTCAAAGATATGCGTTTATTCTTGGAGATATGTGTTTACATTTATCTATAGCTATATCTATCTATAGAGAGGGTTAGCTGTCTATAGATATCTATGTCTACATGCATTTATATATATATATATATATATATATATATATATATATATATATATACTATTCATCGCAGATGAAGGACCATCAACTACAATATTACTTCAGCTGAAAGTACCAGCATCATGGGAAAAATCAGAATAAAGAGAAACAAAACCTTATACACCCTACACTTTTTGTTTCCACAGAAATAATTCATCCAGGAGAGCAAACAGAAGAAAAGAAGAAAAGCTGTTCCCTCCTCCTCTTTCCCCACTGCCAGAGGACCCTCCACGCCGCAGACACATCAGTGGCAATAATGGTCCCTTCAGTCAAGAGAGAAACATCCCTGTGATTGGACAGACCACCTCTGCCAAACCTAAGAGGAGTGAAGGCAAATTCTGTGCTACTTTCAAAGGGATACCTGTAAATGTAAGCATCTTAGAAGAAATATTATGATCGTTAGGTAGAAACAAGTTGACCCAGCTTATCTAACTAGACTTGACGACATGAACATGTTGCAGGGGATGGGAGGAAGAGGCAGAGAGAAAATATAAGTGTGTGTTCACACAAATACACAAACTTGCCATTATTTCAAATCTCGATTACTCTGAGTGTGAATTTTTCATTTCAGTCTTACTGCTCCAAGCAGGTTACTATGCAGAAACTCAGGGCGATGGACATCCTTTGGTCCAATCCCTTCATATCTTGGGGGTGGGGGACACTTCCAAACTCCTGACCACAGCATCTGGAACAAGGCAGGCACTCATCATTAGTGAATGAAAGAACTAGTGGATGGAATGAGATTGCCCAAGGTCACTGAACTGGGGCTGGAACTCCAAGTAACATCTTTCTAGCACCCAGCTTAGCAGGTATGAATTGCTTTAAAAAATGGTGACTAAAAATGATGGCATTTAAAAGGTGAGTTTTTTTTAATAAAATCACACAATTGTGGTTCGAAGCTCTATGAAATGATTATGTCCTTCGGATTTTCTGCATTGGTACTTAACTGACACAGATAATGGAGAATTTGTATCACTTTTCACATCCACACACTTGATCTTTTCATCTGTCTCAGGACACGTACCGTATTTCCCCATGTATGAGATGCACCCTTTTTCGAAAAATTTGGGGTCTAAAAACTGGGTGCATCCTTATACAGTGGTTGTAGATTTTTTTAACTTGCATTTCCCGCTTTTTTTGCACTTGTTTTTTGTGCTCATACAAACACTGTATAAGACGCATCCAGTTTTTAGACCCCAAATTTTTCAAAAAAAGGGTGCATCTTATACATGGGAAAATATGGTACCTGAACTGTGGAACAGAGCAATTAGTGTGGCTGGTTGATATTAAGGACAAATGTATCTGCCTTCCCCTGTAAATACATGTATATGCAGATATAGCATCTGTATGCACCTAGCCTCCTTTAAGTGTCATATTAAAAGCAAATGAGTGAAACTCAATGAGTTTTCAAATGTCTGGTGCCAACCTGGTAGACCCTGAACCAAAAGTGTCCATTTAACACCCCATGGAAAGCCATGAGGCCTGTGAGCTTTAAGGACCCCAATTTATAGGCCTCCATCATCTGAGATGACTGAGAGGACATACATATCAAGGTAAATTTCAGCACTGATAAAAAGAGATTGCTCTATTATGAACTTGTCATTTTTCCATGTGAAATTCATTTGTTGTATGGGTGTATGCACACACACATAATATTTGCATTCTCATTTAAAGATGCTGATTATAATGTTAGGAATTAAACCACCTATTCAAAACAGTAATTATACTATCAATCCTATTTTTCATACTGAATATAATTAATATTATAAACTCCAACTGATACTCTCTTCTATTGCGAGCTTTTGGAGGGTATATGCCATCTCTAGCCAATTCTCTTTGTACAGTGCCTAGTATATTGTCACAAATGCTTAATGCAGATATTATGACAATGATAATGCTTACAAGAGTCTGCAAAGTCATTTCTACAAGAGCTAAAAACTACTGAGGAAACATGATAAATGTTGTACCCAGAAATCAATCATCCTTCTTAAGGAAATCACTGGGGTCCCCCATGATGAGATTGATACCCATTTCCTCTTCTTTGGACATCCTTTTTTCTATTAATGGCTCGTAATCTGGGAGATTTTGTGGTATATTTTTTCCCTGGCCTGGGAGCTAAGAGACTTGACACATAGGGATAACACTGCCACAACTTTGCTCTGTGACCTTGGGCAAATTATGAAACCTCTCTGAGTCCATAATTGAGTAGACTCGACTAGGTGATCTATCAGACTTCTTCCAACTCCAAAAGTGTCTTCAATTTTGTGCTCTCAGAGTCTTCTCCCTTCCATTTTTGCATGAAGTCTTGCTTATTAACTCAATGGGCGGGTGAGTATGGACAGAGGACATGTTTATATAACTTACATGATCATGGCTGAATGCAGCCATTTTCAGTCAGATGTGTCAAGACTGGGATTGATGCCATGTGCTTAGTTGGTGAGGTGTCACATATCTTGACTATAGGGACAGTGGCACTATCCTGGGTTGACTCCACTGGTCTGGGCCATCTGACTCTGACAGGACAAACATGGAGCTGGCATAGGAGCTTTAGAAGATGGATTTTTTTTAAATGTGTTTGGATTGAATACAATCCATGATGATATTTAAACTCTTTTCTTCATATCTATCATAACAATTTTTGGACGTGTAGCCTCTCAGCACATTTATCCCCATGAGATCTTGGTAGTAAGAATTTTTAATAATCAGAAGGTCCAGGATCAAGTGGAAAAGATAGACTTTCAAGGCTATAAAGATATTCACATTTGGCTTTTATCTTTAAAGTGACCCTTTTGATGAGGCAGGCATGCATGCATTCAGCCTTCCATGCCAGCACTGGGCTATGGGGTAGGACAGATGGGGTGGGGATAGTGGTGTCATCCATCAGGGATGATGCCAGTGCTCAAGAAGCTCTCAATCTAAGGTGAGCAGTGAGACATGTTCTCAAAGAACTAGAATATAAAATATCCAGTAAGTGTGTCATACAGAAGGGATTGAGACAGACCCTTTAGATCTTTACAAGGACCAAAGAGAATTAAGGTACTTCTGGTCATAGACATAAGGCCTTTTTCCTGGAGGAGAAGACATTGGTTGAGTTGGGTCTTCATAGATGAGTAGAGTTTAGAAATGGAGGGAAGTGGTTAAACAAAATGTGGCGTATCCATACAATGGAATATTATTCAGCCTTAAACAGGAAGGAAATTCTGACGTATGCTACAAAATGGATGAAACTTGAGGACATTTTGCTGAATGAAATAAGTCAGCCACAAAAAGACAAATATCGTATGATTATAATTATATGGTAACTAGAGTAGTCAAATTCACAAAGACAGAAAGTAAAAGGGTAGTTGCCAGGAGCTGGGGAGAGGGGTGAATAGGAAATTATTGTTTAATGGGGACAGAGTTCCAATTTCGCAAGATGAAAGAGTTCGGAGATTGGTTAGACAACAGTGTGAATGTACTTATCGCTACTGAATTGTACACCTAAAAATGATTGATTAAGGTGGTAAATTTGATGCTCCATGTGTTTACCATAATTTTAAAAATTTGAAAATTGAGTAAATTATCACAAGGTGAAAGAGAAAAAGGAAGTAATGAAGGGAAGGGTTTTTGTTTTCAACCCCAAGATTCTGCACAAAGCAAAGCAGGGAAGTGAAGAAAGCAGAGTGTGTTCAGTTTGGTGGAAGGTCCATGGGAGGGAATGGTGGGAGATGAGGCAGAAAGCTGAGGCCAGATCAGGGAGGGCCTTTCATGCCAGCAAAGGAGCTCAGCCTTTGTTTGCATTTGGGTGCAAGGGAGTGAAATGCATGGAGCCTTGTTTAGGAAGCTCAGGCTGGCAGGCAGCAGTTTGAAGGTGGAATGGAAAAGGTAGCTAGGGTTTGGGAATTGGCCAGGAGGCTGTTCGATAGTCTCGGTTGGAAACCATGAGGCCCTGCTCTTTGAGGCTTCAGAGGAGAAAGGGGCAGATTTGAGAGGCATGGGGAAATACAGTGAATAGGATTTTGGAATTGTTTGGATAAGGGTGATGGAGAGGAAGAAATTAAAGATGAAATAGAGCACTGGTTTTCAAAAAGAGTTTCAGGAGCATTCTCATTTTCTGAAATGAAATCATTTACAGAATTTCAATATATAAAGTTGATTAAAGCACAGCAGTTCAGAAGGCAAGGTTAAGGGTACGCCAGGTCTCGTGCTCCTGGGTCCAGGCATGGCCACAGTACGCTTACTGACATGGAGACATCCAGCCATGGTGACAGGGAAGACCATCTTATCATTAACAGAAAGAGGGAACTGGTTTGGTTATCAATTTGGTTTCAGACACATTGAGGTGCTAATGGGCCATCTTGGTGGAACTATCCAGGGGCGGTCACTGTAGGTTCGGAGCTTTGGAGAAAGGGTAAGATCGAGGTTCCATTTGGGAGTTACCTGCTTGTTATCAAATCTGTGACAACACATACAGGATTGTCAAATCCTGTGCAGGTCAAGAAAGAAGAGAGCTGGGGAATGAACCTTGGGGGATACCAACCTTAGGTAGACACCAAGTGAAAGGGACAGAAAGGGGAAGCGGCACCATGATAACTCTGGTCAGATGTACAAGAGTCAGGATCATCCCACAGTCGTCAAGTGGGGAGTACAGAGTCTGCCATGTGAATCAGGACACATACTGTCACATAATGACAAATCTTACCACCTACTTTCTTCATCGGGATCCATTCTTTCTATGGCAATGGCAGCTCAGAGTGAAATTCAGAAGTCTCTTACCCTCTTGATTTTTGACCTAGTTGAAATGAGCTTTCACTATCCCAAGACTTCCAAATGAGGATGTATTCATGTGGCATTCGCTTAGCTGGGATCAGTCAAGCTCCTTATGTGGACAAAAGAGCAACTTGGCCCTTGGTCCCAGGGTAATGACTATTGAAGGACAGTATCTGGTTTGCTGGTATTTTGCTGCACTGGATCTGTTATTTTGCAGAGTGACCTGAGTACTTGACCGTATTTGGCCATGTATAATGTGCTCCTGTGTATAATGCTCACCTATGTTTTTGGCTCCAACTTTCAGGGAAACATATTTTGTTTTAATTTTTTTGAATTCAAATTTCGTTTACATCTAGGTAGCTGTTTTTGTATTATAAAGGAATTTTAGCATTTAGGTTTTAACATATTATGGTACAAGAAATTGTATGTAACAAATAATTACAAAACACAAGAACAGATACAAGGTACAATAAATTTTATGTACCAGCAACAAATTTATGATATTTATGCATCCTAGAAGGCTAAGAAGTCTTCATCGTTGCAAGTTCATCATAAGTTCAACAAAACCTATGATCATATTCCAGGGTATTATTCTGCATACGGATATCATTATTGATTTCTAGAGTTACACTTTTAACCCATAAGCATAAATAGAAGAATTAAAAACACTTAAGGAAATATGGCATTAGTACTACCCATATATAAGTGCATCCTTTTCCCTCACAAATTTGGGCAAAAAAGTATGCATCATACATGGCAAAATACAGTATTTACCCTAGTGAAAGGTTCTGGGCTGGTTCCTTTATCAAAAATATACACATCAGGGTCATCTCTCTCCCTCTCCCTCTCCTTCCCTCTCTTTCCCATTCCTCCCTTCTCCCTTCACATCCTCTCACCAGATTTAGACCTTTGGCAATGGCTATTTTCATGCGACGATAGGGCTATATAATCACAATGCCTGACCAGCTTGGTGTTTGGTGTTATCATAGAACAAAGTCTGGTGATTCAGAGTTCATAAAATATGCCAGGGTCACCTATTGATCCTCAAACCGTGTTCATTGTTTTGTTTTATTTCGTTTTGCCCCTTGCCTCGTCCCCTAGTGTGCTCGATATTCAAAGCATTTATGAAAAGGTGTTCTAAAAATCTGGGCCTAATGGAAGTTGTTTGTCCTCCTTTTTCCCAGGAGGGAGAGCCTCCAAAAAAGGCAGCCTCTGCCACCATCACTGTCACCAACACTGCTGTTGCCACTGTCACTGCTACTGCCATGGTCACCGCCACTGTCACAGCCACTGCCACTGCTACTGCCACGGCTACTACCACAACCACTACCACTACCATTTCCACCATCACCTCTACCATCACTACTGGCCTCATGGATAGCGGTCACCTGGAAATGACGTCCTGGGCATCCCTGCCCCTTCTGTCCAGCAGCACCACCAATGTCCGGAGACCTAAACTCACTTTTGATGACTCGTATGTTGTCCCCAGATTATCCTGGGCCCAGTTTGGGAATGGGGAATGGGGGGTGGGGGCAGCATGACTTTTCGAGCACCATGCATGCGTCACCCAAAATAAGACCTCAGCAGCAGCTCCGATAGCCGTAGATGTATATCCCTCCTCCCCACTCACTCCTATCCTCACCAAGAAGCATCTTGGGCCCATTTTAATTGGGGATCTCTGTTACTATTTCCAAAGCCAGGTGCTCAGTTCTGGGTTGCTTTGTCCTCCTTTCTTATCCATGTCCTCAGCGCTGTATGCCAACAAAGAGGCTGACAGCTCGGTTTTGTTTGATCTGTTTGGATAACTGGAATGATTGGGGTTGGAGGATAGGGGTTGGCGTGATTTATCCCAGTGGGCCATTATGCACTTCCAATTTCATTTACAGAATTATTTCAAGGGTAGTTCTTATATGAACAATATCATTCTTCTGCCCTTCTCAAGGCACTGTACAGGAATGGCTTTATAGCAAAAAAAAAATTTGACTTCAGTCTTTCATGAAAAGATGAACCATTGGTTTCTTTCTGACAGAGCTCATTTTATTTATTTAGGGTTCACAATGCTGATTATTACATGCAAGAGGCTAAGAAGCTGAAGCACAAAGCTGATGCACTGGTAGGTTTCCTTCTTGCGCTGCTTTGCTCTCATGAACGTATTATACGTTCAAGGAAAACTAAGAAGTCACTTGATAAACAATTCAAACGTTCTCGCTGCTGCTCTGACATAGAGAGGTTGGATCTTGTTAATTCCTTAGCACTCTTATTCCCAGAGTTCTTTGGACTGTGTTACCCTGCCATTACCTGTATTTGTTTTAACACTATTCTTCCCTTGTCCCACTATTATTCCCCTAAATGGCATATACTATTGTCATCGTCCTTCAAGTACATTTGAAATGGCTTTTGAAACTGCCCTGGAGAAGGTTGGGGCTTTCATTGGGTCTGGTAAACCAGAAACTAGTGTGGGCAAGGAGAGGGCTGTTGAGAGCTGGTTAGGTGGACCCAAAAACTGGCTTTGTGAAACTCTAAGTCTGTAGGAAAAACTCAGCTCCTTATTGCATTTGATTGTGTTTCCAGAATGAGGCCCATAGCCAGGCTAGGACCCTGCACAGAGAGAGGAAGGTCTGTCATCTGGATTTCCCGGGACACATGGCCCTTCGTCCTCCAAGGGTTTTGGCACCTGAACAAAGATGAGCTCAGCATGTTGAGTTGTTTGACATGATTGATCCTTCTAACAAGGGGTCTCAACCATGTGTTATAATCACTTGGGGAGCTTTAAAATAACCCTGATGCCCAGGCTACACCATGGACAAATGGAATCAGAATTTCTGAGACTGGGACCCAGGCATGGGTATTAAAGCTCCCTAGGTGATTCCCAAGTACAGCCACGATTGGAAACCACAGCTCTAAACAAGGCCGAACGTTCAGGCTCCTCACCTTTGACTAAACCCCATCACAATTAAAGGGATCAATTCAACCCCATTCTTTAAAAAAAAATAGCATCCTCTATTGCATTGTGTCAGCCAGGATTTAGCTATCCTGTAGTCCTATAGTGTTTCACACTGGGAGGGCTGTAATGGGGCACTGTGACAGTCTCTGCAGTATGATTTGGGGGTGACCAATGTCAACTGCCCATGGCCCTAGCATTTGCCACTTCCCTACTTTCTGTCATTTTCCCACTGTGGTCCAAATTGCCCCGCTATTGTCTATAGCTAACCTGTCTGGGGTGTGAATTGTCCCTTGGAAACACTTGTTCCCTACTCCTGCAGATGAAATTGACAAGGCTGCTGGGCACCAGCTTCACTAGAGATGCTGGGAGACTGTGCGTGTGACCACTGTATGTGTGGTGAGAGATTTAAGTGTCATTGGGTGATGGTCCTGCTGGATTGAAGACCAAAGGTTTTTTTCTGAACGTCCTCAACTCTGAAACACTGCAGAAGGGCTCTGGAGTTTGTCCTCTGTCAAAATCAGGACAAGCTGGCCCATGAGCTGGTGAAGACTGGGGTACATGTAGGTGAAATGTTAAAAGAACTGAGAAAAGTCAGAGCCACAGAGATACAGAGATATGATTAAGAATCAACATCACTATCTACCTTCTAGGATATGTTTATGAGTCCCCCCCAAAACCACTTTTGGTCTAATCCATTTAGGGAATTCGTTTTTATTTGTGGAGATTCTGCCCTCATGGGGGTAAAAATTGGTTCTTGGAAGTGGGGTGACAAAGTCTTAGATATATCCAGAGTGTGACCCTCCAAAGGGCCACAATACATAAAGATATCATCAGGATATCACTGGTAGTAAAATTTCACTGGGAGGGGTGTGAAAAAAATCTAAAAACATCCCATTGTGGGGTGGTGATAATGATGAAAAGGTTGAGAAACATTCATTTAGACAAAGATATCTTTGTTAGGCTTATGCCTGTTCTAGACTTAGAAGCCCCCTTATAGTTCTAGCTCCTCATTTTATAGATGGAAGAATTGAGGCCCAGGAAGGGAGTATGATCTGACCATTAATTGGCACTATGGCCATGAAATTTTTCCTCTGGACTTCAGTTTCTCCTTTTGGAATAGCTGGGGTCTGGGCTGGGAGATCTTTAAGGATCCTTCCAGCTATGGATTTGTGAATGAAAAGTTCCTTTCAAAAATCAAAATGTAACCATGAATTTCCAAATGGGAGAGCCATTTGGAGCCCAATGACCTCAGGAAATTATCTTGTAAGGCAAGAGAAGAAAGAGATAGTTTGCATATATATAGGTTTTTGTAAAATCGCTTTGAATTTGTTTGAAACTGATATTTTCCCACAACAGCTCACAGAAAGGAAACCGCAGAATTCCTGTAGTACATAAAAGCTGAAGAACATTTATTGTAAAAAGAGTCATTTACAACAAGAGATTCTGCAGGATCCGTAACTCATCATTTTATAGTTGCACTTAATCCTTTGCTGGAGACAGCCACTCAGCCATTTTGAGAATTGAAGCCTTCACAGTTGCATAGAAAATATTTTGATAAAAGATGTACAAGAAAATTAAAATAGCAAAATCTGCATTATATTCGTTCTTTTACATACAATTCCACATTAGGGGAATTCTTATATCCAGCTATCAAAAAATGAAAATGTTAAATACTGTTATAAAATACTCACCATAAAAGTGTCATATACAATATTCATTACACATAAAAAAGAAATCAGTATGTCTAAGTCACTTTAATCGTGACCGTTATCAAGGCTAAAACCTTGTGCAATAAAATTTTACTAAACTAAAATATTTAGTAGTGCTATATTTTTTGCCTTTTGACATACTATTTCAGGCCATCATTTACAATGAAAGTGATGTGATTATTGTCAACAGTCACACTATAGCTTCACATCTTTCATGACAATAGCATCAATTTGTTACTCTTCTCCTGGGGCTGGAGCTGATGTGCTCACAGAGTTCCAAAAAAAAAAAAAAGACTGTACGTGTTAGTTGTCCGCGCAGCTTACAAACAGCAGTTTCATTGCAATCTCTGCCTGCAGGATGCTACAGCAACCCGTCTGGTAAAGTTAGTGAATAGAAACTAGTCAAGGCAGTGATTTGCACTCTAGTCCACCCAAAAGATAAAAACAACAGTAATATTATCACATGCATGATAATACCACAACGAATGATACCTTAACTGCAGTGTTCTTTTCTCAGCCAGCCTCAGTGTGATGATACCAGAACCTTAAATCAGTTAGTTTATTGTCAATACGCATTCATGCATTGTCCCCTATCTATATCAGGGCTTCTCAACTTTGGCCACTGTCGGGCTGGGCAATTCTCCATTGTGGGGGCTGCCCTGTGCATTGTGGCATGTTTGTTTAGCAGCATCTCTGGCCTCTGCCCACTGGATGCCCCCTGTTTCATGGTGGCAAACAACCAAAACTGTCTCCAGACATTGCCAAATATTCCCTGGGGGAGGGGTGCAAAGTCGCCCAGTTTTAGAACCCCTCCTTCATATGAAGGTGAAAAGGAAATATCATGTTGACAAGTCTTCTTCCTGTTTCAGTTTGAAAAATTTGGCAAAGCTGTGAATTATGCCGATGCAGCCCTGTCCTTCACCGAATGTGGCAATGCGATGGAGCGCGACCCTCTGGAAGCGAAGTCTCCATATACCATGTACTCCGAGACTGTGGAGCTCCTCAGGTTAATGGCCTTTCCTGCAACCATCTTCCTAAACTCATTTCAGTACTAATTAGAAACTGCTATGTTTTTTTTAATATCATTTCCACATAGTAATGATTTGTCGAAGGCATCTTCTTCTTAGAAGTCATGATAATTAGTTCTTGCCATTTTATTAATGTCATGGAAAATCCATAATTGATAGACACTGCTTTTATAAATTATCCCCTTCAGAGGTCATAATATGAGTGTTATAATTTGCAATATTCATAAAATTAAAATGGAAACGTAATGGGAGGAAGTATAATAATTTCACCGTTTGGCACTGACACTTATCTTTTCAAAGTGCACTTTTATAATTCAAAAGAAGTGGTATTATCAGGATTTCTGTTATAAACCATGTTTTCTAAGAATTTTTCTTCCTCGGTTATTAAAAAGGGAGGGGCATTATTCTAACACAAAGTGGGCATTAAGGCCGCAGGTGTGGAGTAGACTCTCCAAGCTTCTGAAATTTAAGGGAACCAGACAAGGTGATAGCAGGGGCAGGGTAGAGATGAGAGGGTGAGAACAAGAGAGAATATATTAGCTGCGCAGATTATTAGTTTGATTTGCATTTTAAATGAAATTTTCTGGCCTGTTGGTCTTGGCAGAGTAGAATTTGTAGGTAATCAAAATACCTGGAAGAAGGGAAAAGAGGAGAAATTATATCTATTCTAGTGTTTTCTAGTAACCTGCAGATATTTGTAAAATACTTTAATCCACCTGTGAATAGTGGATATGTACCATCGATTGCTGGATCGACTAAATAATTGCTTTGGGTTGAATGATCATTTCTTCACCTGATAGGCCCTTATATCCTGGTCACCTCTGAGTCGATTAATTCATAATGCCAGGCATGGTTTTTACTATGTGGCTTGTATCTGCATAAACGCTTACATATCTGAGGACACTTGTACCTAAACATTTAGACAAACACTGGACAAATTTAGCATGCATATTTTCCCAGCAAAGCATTCCAAAATATCTGAAGAATGTGAACTCTCATGAAGAAAAAAAACCAAACAAATAAAAAACAAGGCTCACATGGAATAAGAAGATTTAGTTAAAACCACAAAAGTAGGGAGATCATGAGGACAGCTCCAGCTTGCCTTGCCAGGCCAGGCAGCCATCTTTGGCTTTTCTCTGCTCTGAGAATCGGGCAACGTATCTCTCCAACTTTATGCCCTGTGAAAACCATCACTGCCATTCTGTAGCTCTTAAGGGGAAAATGGTTTCTCAGTGTCTATTCAAGGCTGCACATGATTTTCAAAGATGGACAAGATGAAAATTCTGGCAAAAATTGTAAATATTAACAATTGACAGAAAACATTAATGAACAAACATGGAGAAAATTCATGTCCTCTATTCATCCCAAAGTGCATGTTTCAAAAAGGCACTTTTTAAATTAACAAGAAAATGTAAAAATGTTAATACCTAGTGTTAGCGCGCGCGCGCGCGCGCGCACACACACACACACACACACACAATATTGTTGAACTAGGCCTGTCCTATGCTGGTGGTGAGAGTGGAAATCGATCATTGTAAATTGAGGACAATTTGGCATTGTGTAGCAAAACCTACACAAACGAGCATTCGTATCTTTTGAGCCAGTCACTCAACTTCTGGAAATTTGAATTTCCTCTACTGAAGAAAATAATTGTAAGACTAGAACGAGTTATCTGTATGGTATTGAGTTTGGCATATATTATAGAACATAATTAGAAGCAAACCAAATAGTCAATAATACAGTAGAAGCGTAATAAATTACATTGTAGTACCCTCAACAGAATGCTTCGCAGCCATTGAATTGCAACAATGATAGAGACTGTGTATTTGCATGAAAATGTTTATAATATGATGTTAAAGTAAAAACAAGCTGCAGAGTTATATACACATTACATTTCTGACCATGAAAAGCATGTTTCTGCATGTGGACCAACGTGGAAGGGAAATGAGATCATAGCTGTAATGGGGTGAAATTATGGATGTTTTCCCTCTCTCTATATTTTCCTTTCTTATTAATTTTCTTCTAGAAAAACACATGGTCTCTTAAAAATACAAGAGCAGAACATCAGATTCCATTTTTGGTAAAAATGCAATGTGAATTGTTGAGTAATATGTATTTCCATTAGAAAACACTCCTTTTCCCTTAATTATTTACAAAGTATTCTTTCTATGTAAGCACAGTTTTTTGTTTTTTTCATTATATGGTAGTTTACTCTCCATGGGGGTATATTTCAGTGGGACCTGGTGAAAGTCAATGAAGAATTTATGGACATTCACTTTCAAGTCAATATTTTCAAACTTGATTTAGAGTTAATTATAGATTCACATGCAATTGTAAGAAATGATCCAGAAAGTTCCTGTGTAGCCTCCCCCAGTCTCCCCCAGTGGTAAAGTCTTGCATAACTATAGTACAGTATCACGACCAAGACACCGACATTGATCATCCGTGAACTTTATTTAGATTTCACCAGTTTTTTGTTTTGTTTCTTTTTCAGATTTCACCAGTTTCATATAAACTCCTTTCTGTGTCCTCTCTCTCTCGCTCTCTCTCTCTCTCTATATATATATAAAATATATATATATATATTATATATATATATATGTGTGTGTGTGTGTGTGTGCAATTTTTTTTACATTTACTGTAAAGTGTATGTATAATTTGTCTTTTCGAGAGAAATTTCAGTTGGGCATAAAATGAGCTAAAGCAACTAGGTCTTCTGATCCATTTAAGCAATTGAAGCTCCTCTATCAAAGTGGTTGCAATTAGAGGATGACTGTAATATGAACAGTTTTTAGTACTGTAATATTATGTTAAAGAGATTTTTATTACTCTTTCCCCAATGTATGCTGGCTACAGAGAGAGACAACCCCATTTCTTCATTCAAGTAATTATAGTTGCTTTGAGCCTTAGGAATCTGCCGTGGAAATGTATTTGTGAAAACAAGTGGGGCATCACAATAACTTTACATCTCCGTGATCCAACTGTCAAAGACATATTTATTACAGAATAATAATCCTTTTGCTTAATATTGCAACAACAGGAGGGATCCACATCAAGGTCATTTGTTGGAAAATGTCCACTCAACAGAAGTGGGCAGTACATGGGAGAGCAAGGGGTTAGAGTATGCTGGGAGTGGTAGGTGTTGGGGGACAAGCCTCAGGGGCACTGCTATTCTGGGGAGACTGATAAAGTGAGGAGTTTGTGGTGTGAGCACAGCTTCCATTTAGTTTTTCCATTGTCTTCTCGCAAGTGAGACCTAGTTCAGGCAGCCTGCACACTTCAACTTCCTTCTGCAACACTGAACTCAGTTGCTTGTTCCACCACAAGTACCTGTGAAATTGCATTAATGCTCAGACAATGATTTTATGCAATGAATTGATGTTCAAGAATCTAAATACCCAGAATGAAATGTGCTCAGCTAGAAGAAAAAAATAGGAATTACTCAACCTTCAATCACCCCAGTGTAGAAAGTTACAATTACAGAGAATGGAAAGACAAAACATACAAGCCCCATAAATTAAGGGTGCTTAGACCTTCAAATGCTGTGAAATCGACCTTCCTTTGAAAAAGAAAAAAATCAAACCACTTTCTGTAGGAATATATTTCAAACCTGAGCCATTAGAAAAGACCTTTCTAACTGTGTGATTGTGGTCTCCCCATTGCTCACGTCCGACATAGTTGTATATTATTTACCTCATCTGTCATTTGTGTCAACGGAGACTGACATTTGTGTCCACCTCACATTGAAAACCAATAATATTTAGCTAGAGTATTCCTAGAAACAGCATTTATTCACACAGTAAACCAATAGTAATTCCACAGTTCTGTCCTAGAATGTGGGCTCCAGATTTAGCTGGCTTCCTCAGAGCTAACTTTATTTTTTGATAATTCCATCTTTGTTGACGTTTTCAAAATTTATTTTTCAATTACCATTGACACACAATATTGTATTAGTTTCAGGTGTACAAAACAACATCACCTCAGTGCCATTGTGGCACTCTTTCGATTGTCATTTTGTGTATGTTTTCAAGAAAGCATGCCTTTCCCACATGCCCTAGTCAGTCCTCCCTCCCACAGCAAAAGTGGGGCTCACACATTCAGAAGACAGGTATACCAATGACTTTCGGACTTTCTGAAGGGTAATACAGATCCCACTTGAGCTTGTCCTTTCTCTTCAAAGGTATGCAATGAGGCTGAAGAACTTTGCAAGCCCCTTGGCTTCGGAGGGGGACAAAAAGCTGGCAGTTCTATGGTAAGTCTCATGGATGCCATGAAGAAAATGGCTGGAATGTCACAGAAGGGTTTGAAAACTCCAGGTGAACTTAAGCTGCTTATCCCAGGTCCTTATTCTTGTTTCCCATTGAACTATTAAAGGATAACTAATGGATTTCTTCAGTTTCTGACTAAACATTTACTCTCCCAATTTATACCCTTATGTAGACGAGATTTTAGTGCGGACCCCTTCTCTTTTAATTTTTTTATACTTCTGTTCTGCAATAACTGCAGGAGTGTAACTGTAAAATATGAATCAGCATTTTTTGTAATTTTACAGTTTACAGGTTTCATTAAGCACTGGCATTAACATAATCTTTTCCTCATCACCACAGCTACCGATGTTTATCACTTCTCTACTTGCGGATGTTTAAGCTGAAGAAGGACCATGCTATGAAGTACTCCAGATCACTGATGGAATATTTTAAGGTAATCCTTATTTTGTATAATTTATAGGTACTGGGTGATTAAATCACAAACGAGACATGGCAGGCGTGTTATTAAATGTCAAGGTTGTTGCTGTCAAAATCTTAACCTCCCTCATTCCAGCAGGCCATGGCCCTCCCATCTTTCCTTTGGAGCTCAGCAGAGAGCTTAGGTTTGATTTGATTCCAGGGAGAGAAGGCATAATAATGCCATCCCCTGATGATTCTCTGGACTGACCAAATAGCCCTCAGCAGCTACCCAGTTGCAGTCAGGGGGATGATACCTTCTTCCCCACCAGGCATGGTGGACCCACCAGGGGGCACAGCTTGTACCTGTAGCTGTGGCCAGCCTTGTGTTAAATGAGAATCTAGGCCAGAAATTTCACAGCAGTAAGATAAGTCACTGTGGCCACCCTGGGCTCTGGAGGGGGTGGGGGGACAGACATTCATACCCCATGGAGCCATTTGACCAGGAGGAAACTTGCAATACAGTGGTTGCACTTAATACATCTGATTGTGTTGGTTACCCCAATCAACAAACATGCAAACAGCAGATAAATAAATCTGTCCTCTACAGAGCTGGAGTTTTTAATTTGCAAGCAAAGAAAAAAGACATTTCGACCTCAAAATGCAATGCCAAAATTTGGGAAAGAGCCGGGATAAAAACTGCAAGCAGCAACGTGGTGGTAGGCCTGGCCACGGTACCAGATGCCACTGGCTTGAGGGTCAGTGGAACCTCTACTGCTTTTGCCCCCCAACACTGGTCGTGATGTAGAATTGAGGAGGCTCAGGGCTCCTGTTGGGCTGCTCTCAAAAGAAAAGAGCTATTTTTTAATTAATTAATTAACGAACTAACTTATTTGCCAAGTGCATGACTCTGCTTTGCTAAATTGCACCGAAGCATTTTGAAATGAATCAAATCATGACCTTGCAGCAATCATCCAAACCCAGTGAGTGGCAGTGCACAGCTGCATGAGGACACTGACTAGGTTGAGAAAGGAGCAAGTTCACCAGGTATTATTTGGTGTGACCCTAATGCCATAAAGCTAGTGCTCATATGGGTGAATGCGGTCAAGTGCAACAGCTGCCCATCCCGTCATACGCCTACTGTCCCAACCTGTGCTCTAGAAAGGCGGTTCTTACACTTGAGAGGGCAGCCCCACCCCCTGGATGGCTCGTGAAATCGGAGTGATGGGTCCCATCCCCGAGTGGCTGATACTGTAGGTCGGGGATGGGGCCTGAAAATGGGCATTTCTAACAAGGTCCCAGGTAATGCTGATGGTTTTGTGGTCACACTTTGAGAGCCACTGCTCTAAAATCTGTGCTCCGGCCTGTCCCATGTAGCTTTTGGGGCATGACAAAATACCCAACAGATATTCAATGACTCACTCCTCTGGCAGCACAAGGAGCTTCATTGAGATTAAAACCTGGAGCCTGCACAATGTGCCTTAGGTGTGAGCCTCTGTGTTCCAGAATGCAACAGCATTCTCACTGGGCTCCCAAAAGTGCTGACTCTCTGTAGCACCCCATTTGCAAAGGGGGCTGGGCAGGAACCCAAGAGGCAGGAGAGGAGCATAACCTAGGCAATTAGGCCAGAGAGACAGGCCTGAGTCGGGCTCAAGGCCACAGGCATCCAGGCCCTGCGCTACTTGGGCTCCAACCTGCTGAGGTCATAATGATGAGCTTGATCCCTGTCCTGTTGTGGCGATGCTGAGTGTCATGGGTCCCTGCATTCCACAAGTGTTTGGCCATGAAAATACAAGAGGCCCGTTCTTTAAACCAGTCTGTTCTAGCAGAGGAAAAAAACGAATGTTTAGCATTCCATTGCAATGCAGCCGTGGACCAGTTGCATTACTAAATAGTCGGCCATGATGATTTGCATGTAAAGACAGCAAATCAAGTTGATTCATGAAAAAACAAGTCACAATGCCACTGCTTGGTCCTGGGACATTTCTGGGATATCACAAATTACAGCCCACCTTGCATCCCAGGGAAAAGTTTGCAACTGGAGCTAAAGGTTAAGAGCTTGCTGATACTCTGAAGAGCTTGTTTTGCAGAATAAATTTCAGATGAGGATAATTAAACCACTTCTTGGAGAACTGAATCTGATTTCACTGGGCCTTTTCGTATATAAGATTTTTCATCAAGTAACTTTCATGGTCCTGATTGGAGCCCACTAATTATCCTAACCAGCTATTTTCATCGAGTGTGTGTTGTGGTGTGCTGACGTGCACATACATCCCAGTTCTGCTAACGAAACAGGAGGCATCCCGAAATGCTGCAATCAATATTAATGTACTCAAAATCACACTTCCATCTGTTTCTGAATTAATAAAACACAAATAGATGTCCTGATTTCCCCCCCTCTCTCTCTCTTTCAGCAAAATGCTTCAAAAGTCGCTCACATACCATCTCCATGGGTAGGCAATGGAAAGTAAGTATCTTATGAAAATTGCTTTTTCAGAAAATTGGTGATTTAAGAGACCCCAAATATTTTGTATGGACGACTCAGAAGTGAAGGTCAATTCTGAGACTACAGTAATTTTTGTACACACAAAATTCTAGTCAGGTTTCAGCTAGTGGCAAGAGAGAAAAGTTTAACATGACGTGAGTCCAAATTTGTTTAACTATTTGATCTTTAAGCCAAATTATGGCCATAAAAATATCTTTTAATGAGATGGCAAGCACCATCCCATTTCAAGGAGGTAAAAGTTAACTTCGCTGCAGTGATTTTTCAATGATTCACTCAGTAATGAAAGACCAATGAAATATTCATTGATATATGGTAAGTGCTGTTTAATAAAACCAAAGGCATAATAGTGCTGAAAATGTGAAGGCACTTAGTCAGCCAATTATCTGAGCCTTCATGATGATTTTTATATTAATACTAAAATACCCTGACCTAAAATATAAAAGCATCTACTATAATGGTGATTTGAGGCTCCATGAACTCACCCACTCCCACGGCCATATTTAGCGCTGTATGTGTTTTGGGGATGCTCATTCTTCCAGCAGTAAGGTGAGTGTCAGGAAACCCATCAACCTGGTCCTGATGCTGTCCTTGGGTTCCAAGGTAAGCTAAATGAGCCCCTTCTTCTGCCTGGGTTTGTTTCTCCATCTCTAAACAAAAGGGCTGGATCTGATGACTTCTAGGCCCTTCTGAAGAGATGTTCCTTCTAAGAGGGCGATTTTAAATCCTAGTTTCTCCTCTGACCCCAATACCTCCCTTAGCACCCCAAGCCCGTAGTGGGAAGGGAAACTAGAGGATTGTGGGCACATACTTATGCAAAGCGTTGCTTTTGTCATTTTTCATCATTTCAAAATCCTTGCGCCTCTGATGAAAACACTTTCTTTGACAGTAATAGTCTCCTCTGCCACTTTATAAATATCTCCAAAGCATACTCCCAAAGCAGTGGCATGATGAACTCTACTTTAAGATCATAAAAACATTCAGAGTGAGGGAACAGATCCATTGAAAACTATGCATTAATTTAATTACTGTAGTAAAAGCAAGTACCATTTAAATTGTTGAATGAGGTCTTCCTCTTATATTGACGAACACAAGCGAAAGAACCGGTTCCTTCTGGAAGTTCAGAAAATAAAAATAACCGTTGAAAGGCCCAGAGAAAGCTATTTTCTCTCAACACAGAGTGAATCAACGGCAAGTTCAGGCAAGCAGCCATTAAAGGATCACTGAGAATATATATATATATATATATATATATATATATATATATATATATAATGATTTTTTTAAGCAGCATCTGTCTGAAGAAAGCACGCTCCCTTTGGTAGGACATAGAACTTCTGAATAAGATGACACAAAACAACTGCCCAGGGGTTACATCATGGTCATTCAGCAAACACTTTGGCCTATTTCCTTAAGAGGGGCTGAGGACACAGCTGAGATCGATGTGATTCCTGCACTCCAGAAGCACATGGTCCAGTGGAGAGAGGTGACATAAAGGAACCAAATTCTGTAGAAGCCCAAGAGAAAGAGAGAAAGTGAGCTTGGGCCTCCCTAGCTAGGGAGGGCTTCTTGTCTGCAAGTAAAGATGATATTGCCTGGTCTTCCCAGTGATTTAGGAGAGCTGGCCCCACACAGAGCCTCTCTGAGCCCCTTTCAGAAGGAGCAGCCCCTGACCCTGAGGGCTGGGGTAAGGAAGTGCAAAGAAGCAGTTGATAGAAGGAGAAGGAAATTCTGCTTGCTATAGAGCAGGGGTTGGCAAACTTTTTCTGTAAAGGGCTAGAGTGTACATATTTGGGGATTTGCCAGTCAAAAGGCAAAACTGAGGTTATTACATAGAGAGAGGATAAGAGAGAAAACCAATTTCTGCAAAAAATTGACTGATGAAATTCAAAATATCATAACAGTGAAGCACAATTTTTATACTATAGGCCTACTAAGGAGAAGAATGGAATAAAAAAAATAACATTTTGCTTCATTGAGGCTCAGCGTTAGTGTTCCCTCTCATCACATTGATTGCAAATGATGATCTTTTCAAAGCATTTGTAGCTCACAGGTCATACAGAAGCAGGAAGTGGGCCAGGTTTTCCGACCCCGGATGCACAGTCACGGAAGCCACGTTGTGGGAAGTTTAAAGGGCTGGGCAACGATTTCGGATGTCACACAGGAAGAATAAAAAGAAAGAGAGCTGGGAAGGCTATGTAACCATGAAAGAAGGAAGCCTTTTGAGACCTATAGAGAAGCTGTTTCAGTAGACAGGTAGATGTGATGCACATTCAAAGGGTTAGAAGAGAAGGGATAGCTCCACTTGTTTGAGACATTGTCCAGTAAAAGGATTATGAGGAACCTGGACTCACTGGAGGAACCATCCCCATTAAGCAAAGCTTGGGAGGGCTATGCCTGTATGAGCATAGATGAGACACCTATGAGCCTGCAGAGAACAGTGGAAATTATCCAGTGTGGACACAAGGGCGAGAGTGGAGATGGACAGCCACATCAGGTGAAATCTTTATAGGGTGGAAGGATAAGACTTTGAGGTAACACGGTAGAATAGAAGGGAAGTGGACTTTGGAAGAAAACAGACCTGCTTTCAAATCCTGGCTCTTCAACTAATTTGCTGTGTGGCCCTCAGAAAGGAGCTGAACTTCTCTGAGCCCTTTTGTCATCTCTGAAACAGTGGTGGCAGAAAGTCACCCACCGAGTTGTCCTGAGGCTTAGAGATATGACTATTAGTGAAGCCCAGAGCACCATGCTCGGCACACAGTGACTTTAACAAATGGTGGCTGCTGCCGTTGCCATGGTTTTTGTGGTCATTGTTACCTTTATGAGTTGGAAAGCATAAACGATCCCACCCCTGCAACTCCCACAGCTGTTGGTCTGTTACCACAGATTGTCAGAAATTAATGGTTCTGCTCCCTTAGCAGACTATTAGCTCTTTCCAATAAGGAGCCATTCATTCTTTTATTCACCAAATATTGTGTGCCTGCTATGTATGAGACAGCCACCAAGCCCTTTACACATTCCACATCCTTGTGCTATATGTGTTCTTCTCCCCTCCCCAGGGCACCTTGTATGTCATGGTTACTAATAAGGAATGGAAGAATGGCTGGAAGGCAATTTGTTCATTTATTTAACTGGCATTCATAAGATGTGCACCTGGCATCGTTCTTGATGCTGAGATGTAGCACTGGATACATAGAAATAGATAAAAATCCCAAAATAAACAAACAAAACAGAAACAGACTCATAGACACAGAGAACAAATTGATGGTTGCCAGAGAGGAGGGACTTTGGGGGGCCGGGTGAAAAAGGTGAATGGATTAAGAAATACAAATTGGTAGTTACAAAAGTTCATGGGGATATAAAATGCACAGCATAGAGAATATAGACAATAATGTTGCAACAACTATTATAGTGCTAGGTGGGTACAAGAATAATTGGGGGATCACTGGATAAATTATATAAATGTCAAAACACTGTGCAGTACACCTGAAACTAGTATAAAATAATATCGAATGCCAACGGTAGCTGAAAAAATAATAATGTAAAAAAAATATCTTCCCTCATCAAAGTCACATCCTGTTGGAGGAGAAAGAAATTAAAAAATGTGTGTTATGCTAGATGAGGCTAAATGTCAAAGAGAAAATTGAAAGAAGGAAGGGGGTACAAATGGCTGCTGGGGATGGGGCAGGGAGCAGTGGAACAATGTTGAATAGGGACATCAGAGGAGGACAATGGGAGAGCGATCCCTGCAGATATCTGAGGAAGTTCATTCAAGCAAAGGGACAGCAGCCATCTCAGAAGTGGGTACATGCCTGCTGAGCCCAAGGAACAGCAAGGGGGTGAGTGTGGCAGAGAGCTGAGAGGATGGTGGGTTGGACCAGGATGGTAGTGGTGGGAGGGGTGGGAAGCGGGCACTTGTTTGCTAATTTGTATGTGCCACAGACATGTGAAGAAAAGGACAAGATCTGCAGATAGACCCACAGAAACTAAACAGGACGAGGAACCCCAAGCAGCGGGGAGAGCTAAGTTGGAGTTGGAGTCACACCCAGATAAATGCTTGTAGCCACAGTCAGGATTTCTTAGGCAGGCTTTCATGTCATTAGTGCATTGTGGTGTGCAGACATGCCCATGAGAAGGTCAGCTCATGGAGCCTCATGTGAGATCAGTAATGGCTGAAAGCAACCCATGCCCTAGCTCTCCTTGACTCCATCAGTCATTACTTCAAAGAAAGTAAGTAGGAAGTGGAAGGCAAAGAAAGCCCCTCAGCAGCACTGCAGTGTTATAAACTGAAAAGGCCTTTCCAGGATGTACAAGGTCAACAGCGGTGATTTGTTTCCCCTTGTGACTTCTGGACATGATTGGAAATCATTGACTCCAACCTTTTCTTCCAGTCGAGGAAAGGCCCATCGAGGGGGTGACACTCGCTCAAGAGCACACAGCACTTTATGACAGGGCCAGGGCTGAAATTCAGGTCTCCTGGGATTCCAGTACTTCCTTCCCAGCATCACACACAGTCCCCCTTTCAACATTTGTGACACCTGACAGCTTCACAGTTTTCTCTAGAAATTACAAATGAGGACATATTCCTTTCTTGCCTTAAATTGGCATTTAAAAGTTAATGATCGACACTGGGAGAAAGGATAGAAAAGAGCATTTGCAACCTGCCATGACACAGAAATCCAGCATTGTCTGCTTTGTGTGTGTGTGTGTCATTAGCTGACCCTTCGGTGGCTAGGTCCCTTAGCTTGGACATCCCCCCACCGCACCCCTGCCTTGAGAATAAATCTTTCTATCAAGAAGTAGCAAATAAAACAAATACATTTATAGATACAGAGAACATATTGGTGGTTGCCAGCTGGGAGGGGGTTTAGGGAGCTGGGTGAAAAAGCAAGGGATGAAGAAGTACAAATTGGTTGTTACACAGTAGCCATGGGGGCGTAGGGTACAGCATAAGGAATATAGTCAATAATATTATAATAATTATGTATGGTGTCAGGTGGGTACTAGGTTTGCTGGGGTGACAGATGGGAGGGGGATGGGGATAGGGTGAAAAAGATGAAGGGATTAAGAAGTACAAATTGGCAGTTGCAAAACAGTCACGGAGTTATAAAGTTCAGCATAGATAATATAGTCAACAATATTGTAATAACTATGCATGGTGTCAGATAGGTACTAGATTTATTGGGGTGATAACTTCATAAGTAATGGAAATGTCTAATCATTATGTTGCACACCTGATGCTAATATAATCTGTCAACTGTAATTGAAAAATAAAACAAATATTTGAGAAAGTATCAAAACAGCTCAGAAATTATAAACAGAGGGGGAAAAACTTCACACCCTCTTATCCCAGACAAGTGCAGAGCAGGTGTCAGGATCCACTTTCCCCCTCATACCAGAACGTGCCAGAAGGTATAGTCTGTTTGCAGAAATGGACCAACGCTCTCCCGTAGCTATAGGCACAGCCTGCGTGAGTCTTGAGGCAACTATATGAGTTTGAATGGCTCCCAGGTTGGGTCAGCAGCACTTCGGCATTTTGGGACGCTGTGACTGCAGTACCCCCAGATCCTCTGCATTAGCTGCCTGTCCGGGGACACAGCTGTTCTATGAGCAGGATTGGTGACGAGTAGTGAGACAGGGTTTCTTGGTGTGCAGGGGTGTACTTGGAGGAATGAGGAGGAGATTCCTTCAAACGTGCAGACTTAGGGAGTCCCAAACACAGCTTTTCCCCATTTGTTGTACTCCCCATCCCCCAAATTTTCAATCCTAATAAAGTGGTGCATTTGCCTGGGCAGTTGTTCACAGTGTGACTAAAAGGGATAAAGAGACCGGGGGTGCCCACAGACCTTGCTCACGGGCACAGGAAGCCACCCATGCCTTGAGGACTGTCCCCGGGGACATCTGCAGCAGTGTGACCTCAGTCCAGACCCTCTGTGCTATATACAGCTAGCAGGTGACTCCCTGTTGCTGACATGAAACAAACAAAAATCTATCTGCAAACATTACTACTCCCCAAAGTAGGGAGGCTAAAGACGTCTCTTTCTAAACCAGCATACAGGTGCAAAGTGAGAAATTAGTAGCCGTTCCTGTAGCATGTCTTAAAGAAATCTGAAGAGCTCTAGCTTCCCGAAAACTGCTCCTTGGGGGGCGGGAGGGGGGGCTTTAAGAATTGCACTTTGCTTATTGTGGTGAGTGAATTTGGAACAAATTGTCATTGTGGTTTCCACAGTACGCTTTGATAATAGACCAGTATCGCACATCAAGATTTTCTAAATGCCGATAGCCGTTCTGGCAGCGGGTAGAGCAGTCCTCATAGCTGGGAGCTGTTTCTTTCTCTAAAACATCCCAACACTTGTTGTATGTACTCAAAGTAAGAACTACGGTCGTGGGTAGAATTAATGCCAGAGGAAGACTCACCCAGCTCTTCCCGGTATTCTAAAATGAATAGAGCAACGCGCACAGAGTCATCAATGATTGCTAAAGGCAGTGAGACTCAGTGTTTAACGTTAGAAAAGGAGAACAGCTCATTGTACAGTCTGGCCCTGTAGCCCTGTGTGGCTTGGTCAGATGAGGCAGGAATGGGGACATAATAAGCTCTCTCCATGCTAGGGCCTCTGGAGAAACTTACCATACTGACAAAAGCTATCGGATGTCCTTTGAGAAGAGTCACTGAGATGTACGACTCCACTCGGGCTTCATGTATGTTCACCACGCTAAACCTCGCTGTGGCCATGGTGTTCTCATGAGGTCCCAGGGTGATGAGGGAGGTCTTGAACCCTCTGTCACTCTTCCCAACCAGCCTAACAAGACCTGTCTCTTCCCATTCCCCAGGAATACTCCATCTCCAGTGTGTCTCAACAACGTGTCTCCCATCAACGCAATGGGGAACTGTAACAATGGCCCAGTCACCATCCCCCAGCGCATACACCACATGGCTGCCAGCCACGTCAATATCACTAGCAATGTATTACGGGGCTACGAACACTGGGACATGGCCGACAAACTGACAAGAGAGAACAAAGGTATGCTCACGTGCTCTGCCCAGTGCTCGCCGGCTTGGTAGAGTCAACTGTGCTTTGAAGGACTTGAGCTTTCCATGGTCGCCTTACCTTTGTCTCTAATTTCCAAGGCTGAGATGACAGAAGAGGGGGTTAACTCTGGGCTGACACAGTGACCATTTTTTTGCGGAGAGAGGGATCAAAACTTGGGGCTTAGTTCTCTTTCAAAGCTTACACTAATCTGAACTGTGATGTGTTGGCAAATGACTGTCAGATTTTCACTCCATGGTAGGGATCGACACAGAGAAACAGAGGCAAAGGAAAAGAATGATTTGCAAAACAACTAAGATCCTGTTGGCTTCTGTTGTCAACTTTAATCTGTTATGTCTTTATTTGTTGTTGGTGGTGGTTTTCTTTGTGTGTGTTTTGTTTTGTTTTACTTTTTTGAGAGGTGAGGTTAAACTAAGCCCTCTACCTTCATTATAACCATCAACTCCACTGGGTACATGACAATGTGGCTTGAATTCAGAAGCAAGGGACAAAGCCCCAATGACAGCTGGGATGAAGGATCAGGGTCCTGTGCATGGTAACACATGAGGTTTGCTGCAAAACAAATACAAGAAGGGTGATTCAGTGGTCTTGAGTGACTCACGCTGCCATCTGTGACCCTAGCTGTCACATAACTTCACAATGGAGTCTCACCATCCTAGTGGAGGTGGGAAGTAAAAAAGAAACCGTACTTTTGTCCTGGCCATTCCTTTTACTTGGCTGATTCTGGCCTGGGGGTCACAGACAGCCCCACTCTAGTCAGAGTGGGGACAGACGTGGGCCTTTCAGAATCAGACTGCAAAGAGGTGACCAGCAATTTGGAGCAGTGGAACTGTCTGGTCAGAAACAGGGAGGCATTAGTATCCTACACAGTCTGCTGGCTGTTGCTAGGGCAAGTTGCATGAAGTGGGCCAAGCAGTGGTAGGGCTTTCCAGGAATCAGGCTGAGGCTGCAGGCCACCTAAGATGCAGATGGGAGTTCCCATGGGTTTAACCACAAAAGACTTACTGCGCCTCCTAGCCCAATTCTTCTGCAAGCCCCAGAGCTCTCACACCCCAGGCAGCTCCCTTTCCACTGTGGTTCCAGGATTCCAGTCTACTTCTCTTCTCTCTGAAAAGCTGCTGCTCTAGTCTCTGGGGTGGTTTTCTCCAGTGTCTGACTATGGAATGAGGCACAGACTTCCTGCCCCTCCTCCTTGTCATACCTTTCAAGCTGCATTGCTAAGCCTGTGCAGAAACAGTCCCGGTGAGGTAGGAAGGGGGCAGAATTTAAAGCCTGATAATCTAAGTTGGAATCTTGCCTGGGTCGTGCCCTGGCTGGGTGACCTCAGGCAAATTACTTACATCTGTGAGCTAATTCCTAGCTTCCCTCTCTGTAATGGAAATAATAATAATAATAATAATAATAATAATAATAATAAAATGATAATGATGAAACTGCTCCAAAGGATGATAGAAACGACTTCAATGAAATAACATGTGTAAAGCACCTAGCACAAAATATCAGGTGCAGGTAGGAATCCTACAGATATTTATTATCTTTCCTTACTCCAAATTATTATATATCTCCATAACACAAAGATTCTGTGGCTATTAAAGCACATTCCATAGTTGGATACTTCAACCCTCAACCCAGCTATAAATTTACACTGACTCCTGGGACTATTTGCAAATATTGGTGACATGCGTTTGTGTGGCAATTTCTATATGCTAGGAACTACATTATTTGCTTTATCATTTGTTGTCTCATTTAGCCCCATGTCATAGATGAAGAAACTGAGGCTCAGTGAGGTTAAAAAACTTACCCATGATATCACAGCTCTTAATGTGGGAAGCAGAAATTGAATCTAAAACTGTCCAATTCCGGAGTCTGAACTCCTAACCAATAGGCTACACTCCCCATCTAGAGAGCAATATGAATAATGGGTCCTCAGAGACCTTCAGTGAGGCCCTGCCCTCAGTTACCTGAATCGTGGGCAATTCTTAACTTGTCTAATTTTCTAGGCTTCTGGAAATACAAAGACAACTGGTCTAGATTAACAGGCCCATCCAGAGGTTCTAGAATGACCAGTGAAGGCACAAGCATCTTAAGACTTGCCTAGTGCATCTGCCCCCACCACTATCTTATTTTGTATTGGTAACTGGAGGGCAGTTCAATATTTATGGATTTCCTTCCTAATTGCATCCACTTTCAAAATCCATTAAGGTAATTCCTTCTAAATTAACTGCAGAACTTCCCAGGAGCAATATGGTGGTTATGCTAATGTTTGAGCAAGAGGGTGCTAAGCCCGTCCTTAGCACACTGTGTCAAGAAGTTGTTAAATTTCCTGCCTAACATTGAATCAAAACAACTCTGTCACTCTACTAGCAGAAGAATATGTATCCTGGTAATGTTGTCATTGCTGTCATTGCGGACTGGGGAGAGGACCTAGTTTGGAATCTTCTCTTTGCAGCCTTGAGTTTCATACACTTGTCATTTCTGGACTGCTTGGAGTTGGGGATTCTTCTTCCCACATCTGACTTGTCCACATAGAGATGGGACAACTGAGGAGCTTCCCTTTGGATTGGTACTCTGCATCCCACTTGACACAACCATGTATTTCCACCTTTTCCCACCCAGTTGTGCAATGGCGATGATTAAGGTTGGCTCTCTCAGTGGCGGTTCTCCACTTCCACCCCATGTCCGCCCACCCATACAGCTGCAGGTGGCTTACTGCAGACAATGCGGATGCTAAAATGGGCCAATGGTGCTGATGCTGTTCTCTGGCCTTTGGTCTAGAAGCCCTGTTCCTCACATCCCCAGCTGCTTACTTGAAGCAGTTATGAAAATGCTGACCTGGATAGCTCATTAAGAATGCTACAGCGGGCTTTGTGTAAAACACCCAGGGGACGTGCTGGCTCCCATGCAGCTCACTTTCATGCAACAATGGCTAAGTCCTTCAACAGTTCCCTAAATATTGTATTACATAAGAAACTATTTTCAATGCCAAAAATAGTTTATGCCTTTATCAGCAGAAATTACTTTTATTGCATAGTACAGGTTAAAAAGTGTCACATAATCAAATGAGGTTGATACCTACAGAAGGAGCCCATATGTTATGCATAACATGAAGAATATGTGACATACCATCTGCTGGGCAATCAAGCTCATGTAACCCATGCATGGAATTTGCTTTCCAAGAAGGCAAGACAGCATCCTGACCACTTTAAGGCCATGTCCAGTCTCCCCCCAGATCCCTCGTCCTCAACCAGCATAGGCATGAGTTCCTCTTGGCCGAGGCTGCCTCCTGTCAGGAGCTAACAAAGGGGATGACTGGGAGCCCTCTCATAACCAAGATCAATGCAGTGCTAGACAAATCAATTCAGATGTGGACAGGGGAAGCCTAGCTAGTTTCTGGATGTCATATAGTCTTTCCCAAATCCCCCACTCCACTGCAAAGCAGAACTTGGGCACTCTTACCATCCATGTCCTGGTGGGTGGGGGAAGTTGTTATGGGGCACATACTTGCAGGTCACATTCCTTCCCGGAAGGAAATAAGGCTTGGCAATAAGGCTTACCAAATTAAATGTCTCCTAGATATTTATTTGGCCTTAGACGCTGACGGCTATAATTGCTGTCAAAGTTCACTGGCTATGTCTATACTGTGCCAAGAAAAATCAGTAAACCCAGTTCATTGACACAAAAGAAAACGAGAATACTTTCAATTCAATAACACATAGAATGGCAAACAGCTTACTATCATATAGACCATAGTTCCCTATTATTTTTTTGTATAAGGGTCCTTTTCTCAATATAAATTTATAATATATAAAAATATAAATTCAATATATAACAAAATATATATTTAAATGCACTTTATTTGTACACATCATTTATGTATATATAAGTGTATAATATAAACATTAAATATATAGACAAATGTATTTTTATATAGACAACTATATAGAGAGACAAGTATATTTTTATTTAGATATAGACAAATATATATATAGACAAATATATTTTTATTTAGAATATATATTTTATATATAACATATACATATTGTGACATATGTGTATATATATGTGTGTGTGTATGCATGTGTGTGTGTGTATCTCACAAACCTCCACGGTACTGTATTGTACTTTTAGAATCGGTGTCTGAAAATATATATAGTAATTTGAAAAAACTCACTATGTATTAATAGATTTAAATGAATTCGTGTTGTATTAATCACATTAACACTTACAAACATGCTGCAGAGCTTTTGGAGCTGACAAAAGATTAAAATAATAGTGCTTGGTGTACATATGGAGTTTGGGCTCCCCAGTAGGTACTCCATAAATTTTTGTTGAACGAAAGAGCAATGAATAACTTTTCCAAACTCCACATGGTTGTGTTGTTGCATGAAGGCAGCTTAAGCAGTCTGTGTGTATTTTCATGATATCATTTAAAGGCCTGACCAAGGTATGCTCTGATTTGCAGAATTCTTTGGCGATCTGGACACGTTGATGGGGCCCCTGACCCAGCACAGCAGCATGACCAACCTTGTCCGCTACGTTCGCCAGGGACTGTGTTGGCTGCGCATCGATGCCCATTTGTTGTAGTGGGTGCTCCCCCATCTCCAGCATTACCATCCATCACTCTACCTCTACCAGAGCACCAATGGTCACTGGTGGAATTCCACTCATTTGGGAAAGTTCTCTTGGATTATGTTTGTTTTTATACTTCTTTTGATATCTGTGAAAAACAGAAATCATTATAAGTGGACACTACAACTTGAGAACAGTATATGTTTTATTACTTAGTCATTTTTTAGTATTTTATATGCATTTCTTAGATCCCGCCATCCTTTAGTGCTTGACGGAACGACAGTATTGTGTTAAGTCCTTACAGTATTGTTTTAAGTTCACACAACCCAAAACAAAGAATGGAACGCACTTGTGTTAATAACAGGTTTCTGAGAAATGAAACCACATCTATATAAGGGGCCCTCAAAGATTCAAATTTTCAGCAATAGTCATTCCCCAAACTGTACTCTTATGTCCAGAAGAGAACGTATTTCAGAATCTGTTGTTAAACTTTTGTGGTTCCCAGGGATTCAATCTTCAGGTGAGGATTTTCATGGTCAAAAGCCACTGGTTAGATGTTGTAGCAACATCATTAAATCAAGAGTATTAAGGAAATAAATGAACATAGCAATGCCACTCTTAAAATGATACTGCTGCACACAACCAGTGGATTTTTTTAGCATCCCTTCCATGAGTCCCTATTTTTTAAATTTTAATGATGACAAGTGGCAACATTTACTTCCACAACTTTAAGGCATCAACTGGCATAAATATTTTTGAACTCCATGATTTGAAGCATAAATCCTCTCCTGGAATTATCTTTGTGTCAAACTCTCCTTTTGGGGGGCAGTTTATTGGGTACATGCCCTAGCAGCCAAAATACTACACTCCAGTTTTAGAGATGAGAGATAGGAGGTCTGGAAAATGTCCAAGAAATTCACACCTCTGCCTCTTTTGCAGTTGGTAGGCGTGTCCCTAGTTGGTGGGATTTTTTTAAATCGTATTTTGCTCAAGTCTCTGGAAACAAAAGTCAACTTATCACTACCTAGAAGTAATAACATGCAGTTTGCTTCATAGTGGCTTTAAAATACAGACTTTCCCAATTATTATCCCCGTTTTCTATTTTACAAGGTTTCTTTTTTTCTTCTTTCTTTTATATTTCTTTTCCTTTTTGAGAGGGCTCATTAGGTTTTGACTGAAATGCACTCACTGATTTTATTCAAGCCTATATTAGTATGAATCATTTCCATTAAAATTCCAAAGAAAATTCCAAACTTTCTAAATAGTAGCTAGCCTTTTAACAACAACAAAAGAGGTTTGGGGTGATGTTTTACCCTAGGGTGCTTTGAAGGAGCCCTGAAGATTGGGAACAGTTCACCTAATTTGGACATTTTCACATCAGTTGCAACTATCCCCACCTCTTGTGATCCTCTGCATTTATTTTATATCCCTAAGCATTACAATGTAAATATCACCTTTGGTGTTTGAGCTCACGAGAAGAACCTCCCACATGTAGTAAACACTATCCATACATTAGTTCCTTATAATCACTTGCCGGTATATAATTCCATGTAGCCTTCAATCTGCTGAGTTATTGAATTCTGTTCACTGAGTTATGACCAGTTAAATAATAGATGCACACAAAAGATGCAAACTTGTATGATTTTTAAAGCAAAAAGTCATGCAAGTCTATGATTGGAACAGCAAGGGATCACTCTGCACTCATTGTCAAGGTTAGATATACTCCCAGCTGCAAAAGAGCCAGACTTGAGCTCCGCTCTGGTCATCTTTGAGTTTAAAGCCCTTTGTTGTATAATAAGGTTGTGGAAGTTTACTCCAATGGCTGAGGCCAGATTCTTCAAATGACTGCTGGAAGTGTCCCAGCAGCTGAACCCAGCACTTTTTATGCTCCCAATGTGGTTGAGCTTTACCGTTCACAGTCTCAGCAACAACCCTCACACATACAGACACACACACGCAGATAAATGAAACCTGAGAGAATCTCTTCTGAGCCTCTTAAATGAGGAAACTGATTATGTGAATGATTGAACACCCAAGGTGGGTGTCACATATAAAAATTCAGCTGATGGCTTTGCAGTGACTCAAGTTCTCTGTTTGTTTTTAATAGCTTACCAGGTAGAGTGCCTAACTACTACTATATAATGAAGCTGACTAGTTTGACATATAAGTTCAACCTAGACCACAATCCTAGACCACCATGGATTTAGGAGCAGATTCTTCTTGAAATTAAATCTCCAGAAACTAGACATTAGAATGCTAGGGGCAGTTTCCCAGGGAAACAGGCATATTGCCTCAAGGATGAAAGACTTGTAGTTCTTGTTTCAATGAGTCGTTACATCTATTTTACATACAACAGGGAGGTAGTAGAGAATCCTGCTGCCTGATGTCACCTCTGGTGGCTGAGTGTAGTGTGTGCCAAATCAGCAGCACGATTATCAAATCTGACAGTCGAGCTCAGGATCATCACCAGATTATTTAGTAGACCCATTTGTAAAGCAGCTTAGAAACCAATTAAACATGGAGGATGAAATGCCTTCCTGTCCCGGGAGATGAGACATCTTTCGGTTTCATGATTAAGGATTGTGGCTGTTTTCTAGGCACTCTATTCATCACATTGTAAATGGTGATGTGTGTCGTAGGTGTGCAGCTATTTGAGGGATTGAGAGTTTGTCAAGTAAATCTCTTCAGTATACCAGTTTGTGGGAGGGATTCAAGACATGTGGATGGCAGTGAGAGACCCTGCCTTGAGACCTTGATGGAGGCTTGGTGAGACACATCTCAGTAAGCACATGGAGGTAGGGTAATGGGCAGAAAATGAGCAGCTCCACCTGAGCAAGTACACAGAAGGATCTCAGCCCTGCAACGTGACCCAGGTAGGGCCACTACTATGCCTTCCTTTGTCACCCAAGCTCCAACCACAGAGAGTTTGACGAGTTTGTGTTATGATGTTGGCTTGGCTTTGTAATTTTAATTAACTTTGGATTTTTTAGTGGTTTTGTCATATTACTGTCTGAGTTTGGTAGGTAGGATTAATTTGAAAAGAGTATACTAGTGTGGTCCTCGGGGTAGAATTAGCCATAAGCATGTTGTTAGCCAGCCTGTAGACTGTTAATTACTTAATAATCTCAATGGGAAAGTACTAGTAGTTTTATATTTGGATGACATAATTGGAAAAGCAGATTAGCTGCTGCTAACTTTTAAAAGACTTGAGGTTGGAATGCCTTTTTTCCATGTAATGACATGAAAAGATTCAAACCTTCAGTCAATAACCAAGTTGCTAAATTAGAAAACATTTCCTCAAATGTGTTTTGTTGAGTTTCCAAATGGATGGAATTTTGGACATTACATCAGTAAATGCCATTGGAAAGATGCTTGTTCTATGGTATCTTTCCCAAAGCTATCTAATTCGGATTTTGTTTTATTCAAATTTGCATCCCAGAAGTTGAAGTTGAAAAGCATTTTTGAAGGCAGAATCGATTTAGCTGTGAGGGCAAAGCCCTCACGTACCTCTCAACAGACATGATAAAATTCACCTGCCTGATTTGGCAGGTGAGAGAACCAAACTGGATCACTGGGTAGGACTACTCAGTAAGGCGATGAACTGCTTGCTTAGAGAAACACCACTCACTATCCCCATCGACAAAAAGTGTGGCGAGACGATAGAGCTACACAATAATCAAACGAATGGGTCCATTCAGTGCCCTCGAATTCAATTCTGTGGGGAAAAATTATTGAGCCAGTCGTCACTGCTCTGGTACATGACTGGCCGACTAAGTTCTTCTTTGTCGTCGTAGTCGTCGTCGTCGTCGTCGTCGTCGTCGTCGTTGTTGTTGTTTCTCATTTCCACTCGCACAGCCTTATTCTCATAATTAAACTCTGATTCATTTTCTCTTTGGTGTTAGGAAACTCCAGCGACAGAAATGGCATCTGTGTATTGATAATCAGCATTTACCCTGGCAGGAGGCTAATCGGATAGGCTGGTCTCAGACATTAATCTTCCCATCTGATATTTTCGGGGAAAGAAATAGTATCAATTCCCTTTCCATTCTCCTCCTCACAAATCTAGAAGCCCTCTTTACCAAGAGCATCACATTTTCCTCTGTAATCCATCGACTCAAAGAAAATTGCATTGTGGGGATGGTGGAGGGGGCTGGGGGTGGGGGGTGGAGGGTAGGGATGTCCTTCCAGGCCAGGCTGCAGTTCTTGCCCCTTTCTGCTTCTGACATGAGATGTTAATGAATCATTCATCAGGCTCACATTGGGTTAGGGGACACTAAACTACTTTTCTGATCCATGACCAATCATCGTTCTTCTAAGAGATTGGAGCTTTGCTGTTTCATTAACTGTGCAGTGTAGACTAATGGTGTTTAATAAAAATCATTCAAAATTTCAAACTCTTTTGCCAGTGACCTCAATTTTGTTGGCTCTTTGATTTGCACCAAACTTTGAGGAGGGAAGGGGAAAGCAGAGGAAGCTTGCCTGATACCAGGCCCCTGGCAGGATGCTGCAGTGGCAAACCCATTGCCTGCCAGCACTTGCAGCAGCAGCATACAGACCAACTATGGGAAACCTGAAGAATGCCCCAGTGGATGCTTTCAGCCAGGGATAGCTTCTTCCTACTGAGGGACTCATTGTTCTCCAGCCACTGCAGCAGGAAGTCAGCTGCCATATCCAGAGCTGAATTAGAATTGCAAATCCTTTACCTATTTGGTTTTGGTCTGCATCACTCCTGTAGCTACCAAATAGAAGTGTGTCTGAGATTAGAGCCCAGTGTGGTGACAATGGGTAGCTAAGTGCACCCCAGTTGCTCTTGCCCTTCTGTGGCTCTGCAGTCCTTGTGAAATTAGTGGAAGAACAGCCCGTGGGCAGGAAGCAGAATTGGAGAAACTCCCAAAGAGGGTGAGTTGGTGCCATGTTGCCCAGATCCAGAGCTAGCTTCTCCTTCGGTCAGCCTGGCATGCACCCAGTGGTGTATTGGTAAAATGTTTAACAACCAGCCTTCTGAGAAGAGAAAGCATTTAATTTGTAGCATTTGCCAATTTCCGTGGTGTAAATACTCATACCATGGCTGATTTCAAGCTGCTACCGATGATGTCACTGAACACAGAATTGGGAAGAGCTGCGTGCAAAATTGGGACACAGGGCTTGCCAGCTCCAGTGCACATTGAAGACAGCCAGTCAAAGAGGGTTTAGATTTCACATTTATGTTCATGTAGACACACACACACATACACACACCTCTATGACAAACTATTACATCATTTTCAAATATGAATCAATCCACTGTGAATGTAGATAGTTTATTATGACGTCCTAGAGGTATGAGGTTTAAGCAAGAAATGGCTGAAAAGAGTGAAGCCCCCTTGAGCCCCAAGCACAAGGCAGATCATTGTGGGTGGTCTGGTCATCTCCACATCCCTGAGGTAAAACGGAAGTGAGATGAGCACTTAGAAAACCCTCATGGTTGGTTTAAAATAAACATAGGTGAGTGTTAGTTTATTATTTTTTCAACGTCCAAGTAGCATTTCTAACTGGTAAATGTAACTTGGATAAATTGCTTGCGATGGTTCCTTCTGATGTTTAGTTAGGAAACATGAGGGCCTCTATGGAGAATAGCACAGTCCGAAACGTGTTGTGTTGTTTGCTCATACTAGGAAAACTCAGTAGTTCTCCCATCGCGCTGATGTTGTCCACAGGTTTTTTGCATTAGCTATTAGGGACCAAAGTTATTCATTTAACATGTGTTTTTAGTTAGAAGTGCCTACTTACTGTCCTTGCTCTGAATTCAAACCAGAATCTCCTGTATCAATTACATGATTAGTATTCAGAAATAATCATCCAAACCCAAATAATTCCCTTTTCTACCAAATATAAAGAAAACCAAGGTCACTAACAAGAAAGTATAAACTTCAGTGTATTTTTCTAAGAGAATGAGGTTTTTATTAAACACACACACACACACACACACACATCTTTTTTATTAGACCTCCTCATCATAAATCACCCTGAAAGTAGAATAGAAAGTCTCAAGGGACCTGTTCTCCTGGTCCTGTGCATCTTTTGCAGTTAATAAGAGGTTTCTATCTGGAAAGGTTTAAGAAATTGCCCTAAAATCCTATTTTTCTTAGCGTTTCTGTGTTGTGTCCAACCCTGTGCCCACAGTTGAATGTTAGCCCTGGAAGAGATCCGTATCTTACTCTTTCTTTTGCCCTTGCAGCCCTTTCTGGCCACAGAAAGGTGTGAGGAGGTATTCAATCCCCTCATAGTATTCCTGCAACGTTTGTTCTTATTGGAGAATGGTAACATCTGAGGCTGGTTTAATTGATATTTACACTCACACACGGACTTGGAGTCCCCCTAGGCAATGGACCGGTTTGCATGGATACAGTGATTTAGAATTGCGTTCATCATCATCCAGAGATTCCCTATTTCAAAACCACCCTCACTAATCAATCATATCCACCCACAAATATTACAAATGAGATTGATTTTGTCTCAAGACAATGTGTCACATAGTTTTCTTCCTGGATGATTCCACTCACTGGATATTTTAGGAAGAGAAATGTCTGCGATTAAATCCCTTACATTCATTCAGTTCTACAAATTGCTGTTTTTATTCCTATTTTCATTGGAGTAGCACTTCTGAAGACTGTTTGATGTAGTATTGTCTTTGAATAAGATTAATACATCAAAAGTGAGCCCAGTAGAGTTGGTATGCTTAGAAGGCTCTTTGGGATCAGAAGATACCTAAAATTCTCCCCCTTGGTTAGTTCAGTGGCATATCATTAGGATCCTGTAAAAAAGAGACTTTTTGGGGGGTTCTGAATTAAATGTGAGCTTCTGAATTGTACTTGTTCATGCTTTAAAGATATAACAGATTAATAAAAGTAGATGTGTTCTGGCTTAAAACGTGCCACCTGGAAAGGCATGCTATATTATGAAATCATATTATAATGACTGCATTATTACATGGCAGTATAAATATTAGTCTGTTGAATTCATTTGTCCAATTGTATAACTTTGTGGAGCAGTGTTTTGACCTTCATGACATAATTTTGGAGCAAGTAGCATGGTTGTAGGCAGATGAGACAGTTTATAACAGGATTTTTCAATGAACTTTAGTTGGAGGCCTGGCAATTGTAAACGTCTTCAGATGTTGCTGTAACCATTATAGATATGAAGAATAAATTTCTGTTCAAGAAATTTCCCAGAACACTTCAACACTTCAGTCAAGCTGGGTTTTTTTAAGTTCATCGTTTTCTTTTTTTTTTTTTTCCTTTTCCCATTTTCTTTTCTGAAAGGGTTTCTTATTGACTTGAAGAAATATTTTGATTGATTGCATTGTGCAGTCTCTCTCTCTCTCTCGCTCTCTCATTTAAAATATTGATATCTGGAGTCTTTGGTAAATCTGCATTAGACCAAGCTAAAGGCCAGAAATGATATCTGATATCTGAATCTAAGCAAATATTGATAGGTTTTCAAAATGTAACATAACACTCCATAGTCATTGGGCCTTTCCACATTTCACACTGACAAATGCTAAGAAAGACAGAGGTAGTTTTTATAGAGGGGGACATTTATAGTGTCCTCTGAGACCTATTGCAGTTTAAATTAAGATTCCACTTGTTTTTCCAGTAAGTCACTTGACTGAGATTTGAAAAATACCCCTGAGACTTGCCAGGGGTTTCTTCTGCCTAGTCTAGAGTGTGTGTTTGCTTTGTATCTAAGAGGCACAGTCATGTCTTGTGTGCTCATTTGCAGTATTGCCTAACATTCCCATTAGCTTGTATATAAGAGCTAGAAAGATAATCCCAACATGTTATGTGAAGCTGTGACTCTATAAATCTTGCTTTTCTTGAAAATCAAAAAAGAAGACATTTTCCTGCATATTTAAAACAGAAACTTTGTATATGTAAGTGTCATGGAAAATACTTATTGAGTAAGCAGGATACAAATGGGAATTTGTCATCATGTGCTTTGTGTGTGTGTGTTTGTGTGTGTGGGGGTGCTTGCCAATCCATGTCGCTAGAACCATTGTGGCAAGCCATAACTGCACATATAGAACATGTCTTCTGTGTGTGTATGTGTGTGTGCCCATGTGCAACCTATTCGGTTTGCTGTCCTTCGTGGGATCGTGGCTTTCCCTTCTTGAAAAACATTACTGTACAGTTTCAGGAGGCCATGCTATATGAAGGCAGTGACTTGAAATGAAAACCCCTTTCCTCTTGGAAGCTTTTATCATAATATTATGGTTCAACCACATGGATTCCACTGGCCTTTGTGAGGGAAGAGGCTCTGTTCAAACCCAACTGAGTTTCCAAGAGAAAAATTGTAGGTCAAGACTCACGGGTGGGAAGATGAAGGTCCCCTTGGCTACAATGAATGAGCCGAGTTGAGCCCTCTGGGTTGGAGTGGGCTTGCCCTGAGCTGCAACTCAAATCCTTGGGGTCAATGTCCTGGCCTGAGCTCCCTCCACATTTGCACACAAGCAGAACCCCCCGAAATAGCCTGGCCTGCTTCCTGAAAAGAAAACTTTCCCAGTGGAAGAACCTTTTCCACACTGGTGACACCCCAGATGGCCTTTACAATGCAATGATGTCGTGAAGTGCTCCCCTTTGTTTTACCATAATCCAGTTGGTCCTTTGAGCCACTTTTTTGGGTGCAGATTTCCAAAATCCATAGTTATTGCAGATTCACCAGCTGTCACTCTTCTTTGTTTTTTAAATAAGTTTCAGGTGTACAAAACAACATAGTGATTAGACACTTCTACACCTCTGTCACTGTTCTTGACAAGCATGCTCGTCTCGTCAGAATCTCAGTAAGTTCGGATGTTCTGTATAGACCAAGGTAACTGTTCTAACATCAATGAAATGGTATCCGGTTCCTAAAAGCTGGTTTCTTGTGCTTTATATGTATAAACCTGTATCTGCCTGTGTTGCTTTGCATTTCAAATGTGTGGCGCACAAGCGTTTTGTTGGTGCTTTGTTCTCAGTACAGTAACTCTGTGTATAAACATTTTGATGTAGTTTTGTTGTTTGCCAATATGATGTCTCTGTAAAAAATGATATTGGCTGAGCCGGTGCATTGGTTTCCCTCACAAAGGCATTAACTAGACTGCCAGTGCATTGAATTATTTAAAAATGCAAAATAAAATTTTTATGAAAATCTCATTTTAGACATGTAG